TCCCAGGGGTTTAATCTAAATCCCAGGGGGTTTAATCTAAATCCCAGGGGTTTAATCTAAATCCCAGAGGGTTTAATCTAAATCCCAGGGGGTTTAATCTAAATCCCAGGGGTTTAATCTAAATCCCAGGGGATTTAATCTAAATACCAGGGGGTTTAGACTATATTACCGAATGACAGTTAATCGTGTTTATTTGATAAAATCCGTCAAAATAAATATATTTCTAGATTAAATATTTTTCAAACAATGAAACTTAAGAAACTTAATAAAAATGTATCTTTGTTCATTGCGTTAAATCAATATTTGATTAAAATTTACAAAAAGACTAATATATTTGAAAATAATTTTTAATTCAAAATTTTGTAATTTAAAATAAATATTCACTTACAGTCCTAATAAAGCATGACTTAGTCACTTTACAGTACTAATATAGCATGACTTAGTCACTTTACAGTACTAATATAGCACGACTTAGTCACTTTACAGTACTAGTATAGCATAACTTAGTCACTTTACAGTACTGATATAGCATAACTTAGTCACTTTACAGTACTAATATAGCATGACTTAGTCAATTTACAGTACTAATATAGCATGACTTAGTCACTTTACAGTACTAATATAGCATGACTTAGTCATTTTACATTACTAATATAGCATGACTTAGTCACTTTACAGTATAAATAAAGTATGACTTAGTCACTTTACCTAATATAGCATGACTTAGTCACTTTACCGTACTAATATAGCATGACTTAAGTCACTTTACAGTAATAATATAGCATGACTCAGTCACTTTACAGTACTGATATAGCATGACTTAGTCACTTTACAGTACTAATATAGCATGACTTAGTCACTTTACAGTACTAATGTAGCATGACTTAGTCACATTACAGTACTAGATATAGCATGACTTAGTCACTTTACAGTACTAATATAGCATGACTTAGTCACTTTACAGTACTAATGTAGCATGACTTAGTCACATTACAGTACTAATATAGCATGACTTAGTCACTTTACAGTACTAGTGTAGCATGACTTAGTCATTTTACAGTACTAATATAGCATGACTGTGTAGAAATAATTGTTAGTTTTCAGCTGCAACTCGAAATCACACAATGTCTAATTACTATTGGTAAACAAAACATAAAAGTATAAATTACAACTAAATTTTTATTTTTGAAGCAGGAAACTGGATATTTTTAAATGGTCCAATCAATAAAAAAAATTGTAACATAATCTTATGCAAAGGTTTTCAACATGAAATAATTTCTGTTTTTTTGAAGTTACAGTAGTTTGACGTGCCTAGTATGAGAAATTAAGCAAATTAATTTCTTATGTAAAAAAATCAAAACTTTTTTGTTCATCTTAAGCGCACTAAAAGATAAATACTTGAAAACATACCTTATAACATACTTTCAACTTATGGACATTCGTGTATTTATAAAACGGAAAGTACAGGGTTACCCACAAAGAATGAGACTTCAGAGACAAATATGCGGAATTTGATTAGTCCGTTTTCTTGCATTCAGGGTTCCTTGTAGGCCAAAAATGGCTTAGTTCTGTGCTTAATCATTTAGTAAACAAACAAAATACTTAATTGAATGCAGAAACCAAAAACCAAGCTTTAAATCTTCATTTTTCAGAGCTTTGGGTCGTCTTTAAGTCTCATCCTTTGTGGGTTACCCTGTAAATGACCAATTTTGTTTTGTATTTGTTTTATATTGAAGTTTCCAATTGGTTGGACAGATAATTTAAGAAAATGTCTAACATCTGAAAGAGACTTAAGGCATGCTGCAAAGTGACCCTTCATTTGCAGAATAACATTTTCAGATCAAGTATGATTTTATAATTTTTTAATCTCATCATTTTTGATTGTGGTTTCTCTACTATTAAGTGACTTGTACATTTTATGTAAAATCTTTGTAATATGTATTTACGTGTTCCTTCATCTAAATGTATGAAGTTTGTAAATAAAATTATTTCAGGAAATGTAATAAAATTGTCTTTTTAGGGAAGTTCCGCCTGTAGTGTGCCAGCATCAGTTTGGGGGCGTACTTTTAAAAATTCTTTTAAAAAGGGATAATTGTCAAATAATTATTTTTAGAACACACGAAATAAGAAATATAGAAAATAAAACGGAAACTGTAAAATGCAAACCTATGATATTCAAATCTAAATTAACTGATCTGACAGTCAATGGGTTGTCAAGATAGTGGAATTTAAAAATTTGGGGTTTTTTTTTCAAGAGATCTGTTCCTTTACAGATTTCAGCGTGGTGCATCGCATAGATGTTTATCAAGAACTGATGAAAAATATTCGGACGGAAAATGATCTGTTCTCTCATTTGGAGACCATGCATTCCAAACCTTCCTCCCCGATCCTCCTGGAGGAGCAAACCTCGCAACCAACCTTACATAAAGGATTCATTTTTCCTAACCATAAACGTAAGCGTAATTTCAAGTTACCCTCTATGCCATACCCAATTCACAACGATACCTTTAAAGCTTTGTCTGGTCAATTAGACATTCGTCTTTACAAGTGGTAAAACTACAGCAGGAAAACATACAGGAAATATCAGCATTAGAAACGTCAAGAAAAACGACAATTTCTTGTTTATTAAAAACAAAAAACTTTCAAGGATATTGTTGAGAATCGGGCATTGCCATCTTTGCCATGGAGGGTCACTTGAAATTGAAACCAACGTGGTTGGTGGTTGAAAGTTTCTCTCTCTGAAAAGATAACTGTAGATAAAAATGATAAAAACTCCAAAAACAATGTGCAGAAAAATGTTTGTAATATCTGCAGAAAAATATAATTAATTAATTGTTCAAACGTCGTAAAGTTTAAGCTTAAGCTTAAAGGGAGTATTCGCGAAAAATGAAAGGGGGTATAGGCTTAATGCGATAAAAAAGCGCTTTTGATCGCTACTAATCTTACTTCTATCTGTTGCGTCTATAAGGAGAAAATTGTCAAAAACGACAAATATCGCAGAACGTAGTGTCCATACAAATTCAGAAAGATGCAACATACGACTTAGACCGTAAAAAAATCTATTTAATTTCAAACAAATCATTCAGATATTACAACCTATAGTCATCGATTTTCTTTCGCCACATTTGTAAATAGTTGATTTTTCATAATCCCGCCCCCCCCTGAAAAGAGGGTTAACTCTTATTTGCCATTGTCTAAGGCCACAAGCTGACGCTCAAATTTAATCCTTGAGAAATTCCTTAATTTTTCTACAAAATAATCTTTTTCCATTTAATTCTGGTGATTGGATTTCAACATTTTATTGCTTTTAAAAAAGACTTCGATGAAAAAAGGAAGCATATTGCAAATATGAGGTACAGAGAGAATAGGAAGACGACATGAAAGCAATAATTAAGTGTACTTGATGTAAATACAGAGCAATTTCAGTGGTACTTGTAACTTATTATATCACGTATTAAGTAAAATCGGTCTGTTTCACCTGCACAATTACTGTGTCTCATGTCCATTGGACTATTTAAAGTCATAACTTGAGTATAAAGTCGTCTTCATATTCACGAGTTTTCTGGTTCTCACTGTAACTTTTGCACGTTTTTTGAAAACATAATTTCTTTCCTTTTGTATTAGAGTATCAAGTTCTATGCAAGGTTACCAACACCCACAAAGAATGACTGTTAATACGACCCAAAACAGGAATATTTACAGCCTCATTTTTGGTTTCTGCATATAGTTTCATAGATCATTACACACAGAGTTTGCCTTTGAAAAATTCCTTATTGTAAAGGTTACATAAAAGATTTTTTATTTTTGTTCACTTCTTTGTTTATTTGAGTTGCTTTGTTTGTATTATTTATTTTTATTTTTTTTTGCTTATGTCTGTTATATTATAGGACAAACTCCTGATGACGCCTAAGTTTTTGGCGAAATATATTGAGAAGAAAATGATACAATTCTAGTGCTAGAGAGTAGGGTTGGGAGTTGTTTAAAGACGATCTAAGGTTTTTACCAGTTTTTGCCTACAAGGAACCCTAAATGCAAATTAAATTCCGTACAATCGTCTCTGAAGTCTCACTCTCATCCTTTGTGGGTAAGACTGTAATTCACCAGCTTCTATAGTAAATAAATTTGCAACTTCCTGATAGAGATAAAACTTTTCCAAAAAGCATTGTAAAATTTCAAGCACTCGGCCCCCTAGCCTGTCAAAGCCGCAGCAGCGCTCGGCCCAGAAATTGTCTTAACCTAACCTAACCCCACAGATCGGCTATCATTTTATCAATTTGATAATTGTGGCCGCAGAGCTCGGCCCAGACTTAACCAAACCTAAAATACTACCTAAAAAAGTGTGCATCTGACCTACAAAATGTGTTCATCCGGCCTATAAAATTTGTGCATCCAATTCAAACTATCTTTTACAAATAATAAATAATTAATTTTTTGTCAAATTTTAAGCGCTATTCATTACTCTAGTTTCAGTAGTTTGCCGCCAAGAAGGTGAAAAATCCGGCTATCACTTTATCACCCTACTACGGAATGTATTAGGTGTGAAATCTGAATTTTAATAGCAGGGAGATAAAGTTACTATTTCAATTAGATATAGATAAAACCTCACATGACGTCACTGATTATAGAGACGTAAGTGACATCCATGATGACTGATGAGGTTTTTATCTATCTATCATAGGATACGACATTTCCCGTACATTGGAGTGCACCGAGAGTAACCAACCTCTTGGTGTATGTACTCTGAATAGCAGAAAACTCTGGAATAGGAAGACGACCTTTGGATCTAGTTATGACTTTAAATACTGCCAAGAACAAGAAAAACAGCATTTATGCAGTGTGAATAGACCAGGGAGCCCTTCCATATGATTATACAAAATAGCAGACAATACTTCATTTGTATAAAAAATATTTTTTCTGATGTACAATTATTGCGTATTAAAAGATTATCTAAGTATTTACTATTGTAAGTATATTTTTCTTGTATACCATTAAATACAATTAATTGATATTGTTAAAATGTCGTCTTTCTAGTCTACAGTTCTCTGGTTCTTACTTTCTAGTCTACAGTTCTCTGGTTCTTACTTTCTAGTCTACAGTTCTCTGGTTTTTACTGTTGTTTCAATATTTTTTAAGTATTAAAGATGACAATAAACGAATTAAGAGTTAAAATTAAGAATTTATTACATTTAGGTATAAATAAGTAGCGGAATGGATGGATGTAAATGACATTAGGTTACAGAAATGCGCAATCACATGGTTGGGTGTACACTGTACATAATATTTTGTTTACCCAGTAAAATTTTAAATCATCATAAAACTATGTTGAACGAACTGAAAAAAATATTTTTACACGCTGCTCAAAAAAATGTTCAAAGTTGAGGAAATCAAATATTTTCTCACCAGTCGAGTAGAGAGTTTAATGTTTTTATTTCTATCTAAGATGAAATCAATTTTTCCTTTGAAAATGGTAAAAAATAAGGCACATGCTGTACGGTTAAATTAATTAATGTTTAAATATATATAACATTAAGACTAAATTTATCAACTACAGAGCACCAGGGTAAAGTAAATGGTATGAAAAGGTTACTTTGCTAAATAAAATCAAAAAAGCCATAACTAATTATGAGGCACACCATTTTTAATCTTTTTTTTAGAAAAACCTAAATTTTTATCATGAATTCCACAACTTATATAATAAACTAATCAAAATGATTTGCTTTACCCTAATGTACAATTACCACCTCTAAGATGCTGCAAAGTATCAAAATTCAAAATTCTAATTTTAAAATTGAATTGCCTAAATGTTAGTTATACAAGAAGAATTTTGATAAAAATCTAAACGGATAATACAAAACATATATTCATAAGTTTAAATAATAATTTGACATTAACATTTCTTACATAATAATAAAACTTAAAAACTGATTGTTAAAACTAACCCAACTGTTAGGAGTAATTTAACTAAATTAAGTATTAGTCCGCTATCACATTAAATCAGGAGAAAATTGGAATGGCATATTTTAAGTCCATGTTTAAGATTCATTTTTGCTGCCATTCTTCGATTAGATCAATTTTAATAAAAGGAGGATTTACAGCGACAGTTTGAGAACTAGACTGGCAAAAAGTATGAAAAATATGTTTTCAGATTGAAACATTTTAATTATTTTGGAAGAGGTGAATATTAAAGTGAAGACAAATTTTATATTTTGCAAAAAATCAACTCCTTTTTCCTAACCCTGTTCCTAACCAGGGTAGGTATAGGCTAGTCACTAGCCAGGTAGTATAATATCTTCCTAACCAGGGTGGCCGGGTAGTATTATATTTTCCTAAACAGGGTTGCCAGGTAGTATTATATCTTCCTGACCAGGGTTGCCAAGTTTGTGTACGTTGCCGGTACATCCAACTCATCAAAATGTATTTTACTCGGGTTAAAGGGAAACTTAACCGCAAAGCTAAACTTTGCATCCATGAGCAAGGTGACCTGGTTTCTAGCTTCCTCCAGGGATCTCTCCTAAATAACAGGAATACTTTACAAGGTGTTCAAATAAAATTTTAAATAATCTTTGATTCCTACGGGATTCTTTCGTGAACACAGTAATTAAAGTAATCTTGAAACATATCACATCGAAAAAATTGTTATCTTGAGATTTCAAAAATGTATCCTTTCAATTTTGTACCTTCAAGTTGGGATAATAAGAAAATTGGTCATTACAATAATGTTAATATCTGATATATCTGTCAATTTTTTGTGACACAAAAATAGTTAAAATATCTTATATTCATGGTGGAAATAAAAAACGTACGATTTATTAGTAGCCTCTAAATTGTTATGTTTACTGGGACATCCTGTATATTTAAATACCAATTTAGAAGATTAAAAGAAAGGAATCCCTTTAACTATGGAATAGGAAGATGACTGTTAGGCTAAGGTTAAAATTTTGAATCATCCGATGAGAATTAAATAAAACAGTTTTGCAGTGCAAACACGCCAATACTTCTTAAAAAGTCAATTTTATTTGCAACATCAAATAAACATAAGATAACTAAAATGTCGTCTTCCTATACTACAGTTTAATTGGTCCCACTTTATACCCTGAAAACATCTGAATTTTTTACCTGAAGTTTAGCTTGAATCTTCCTGACAAAGGCTGGACTGACCCTCTCCTCGAACTCGTCAGCTGGAGTGTACAGGTTCAAGATCTTGATAATCTGGGAGACCTTCAGTTTGTCACACATGTCACAGATACCAGATACATCCTCCTCACTCTTCCTGGCTTGTAGCAGCTGGGTAGCCTAGATAGGGGATATAATCTTACATGGCGTTTTAAAAAAAGTGTTTTTCTTTTCTATTCGTTAAGAGATAGTTAGAAATTCACCAAAAAAAGATAGTAAATCGCCCAGTACTGTTTTAAAACTATACAATTGCAAAACTATTTCAAAATAATGTATATACCAAGAAAAAGGTGTAAGAACACGGTCTTCTCTCTGAATCAAGAAACAGAGTAAAGGAGGAATGTTTGTAAATTCTCTATTTGTCTGTCTGTTTAATTGTTTGAATGTCCGATGATAACTCATGAAATTTTCCTCAAACTTTAGTGTGGCTAAAAATTTCCAAGTTGAGTGAGTTGACTTTAATTGGAAAACCTTAAACTTCCAGAAATTCCTCCTGACAGTTAATAATTCCCCCCCCCCTTAAAAAATCATTAAGCATTACTTAAGATCAAACTGTGAAATTTCTAACAAAAATCGGGGACTATTGTATATGGTGTGATGAAACTTGAAGAAAATTGTTATATAATTGATTAAGACGGATGGCTAAAAAATGTAAAGTATGTAATGGGCTGATACTTGAATAGAAACTATTTAGAAAGAATCTTTCAAAGAAAGTTTCAAAGTAAGGAGAGCATTCGAGATTTAAAGGGACTGTTAACCTAATTTTGAGTGAACCTGGCCTCTATTTAATGAGTGAAATGTCTGATTCACAATGGCATCCTTCAAACCATTCTCTTTAAAGCCAAGTCCCTTTAAAGCAAATATTCTTTGTCAGAAATTCTAAAAAAAATTTTAAAAGAATTTCTAACATGCTCCTGGTCACCAGCTGGTCACAAAACAGAATTAACATGCTGGTTACAAAACATAATGTGGAAGAAAAAACAAAAGGCAACCTTCCAAAAAAAACGGAACGAGTATGAGAAAACAAAAGACAACCTCCCACCAAAACAGAATGTGGATGAAAAACAAAAAACAACCTCCCACCAAAACAGAATGTGGCTGAAAAAACAAAAGCCAACCTCCCACCAAAACTGAATGAGGATGAAGAAACAAAAGCCAACCTCCCACCAAAACAGAATGTGGCTGAAATAAACAAAAGCCAACCTCCCACCAAAACAGAATGAAGACGAAGAAACAAAAGCCAACCTCCCACCAAAACACAATGTGGATGAAAAAACAAAAGCCAACCTCCCACCAAAACTGAATGAGGATGAAGAAACAAAAGCCAACCTCCTACCAAAACAGAATGAGGATGAGAAAACAAAAGACAAACTCCCACCAAAAACAGAATGTGGCTGAAAAAAGCCAACCTCCCACCAAAACTGAATGAGGATGAAGAAACAAAAGTCAACCTCCCACCAAAACAGAATGTGGATGAAAAAAACAAAAGCCAACCTCCCACCAAAACAGAATGAAGATGAAGAAACAAAAGCCAACCTCCCACAAAAACACAATGTGGATGAAAAAACAAAAGCCAACCTCCCACCAAAACTGAATGAGGATGAAGAAACAAAAGCCAACCTCCCACCAAAACAGAATGTGGATGAAAAAAAGCCAACCTCCCACCAAAACAGAATGTGGATGAAAAAAAAGCCAACCTCCCACCAAAACAGAATGTGGATGAAAAAAACAAAAGCCAACCTCCCACCAAAACAGAATGTGGATGAAAAAACATAAGCCAACCTCCAACCAAAACAGAATGTGGATGAAAAAACAAAAGCCAACCTTCCACCAAAACAAAATGTGGATGAAAAAACAAAAGCCAACCTCCCTCCAAAACTGAATGAGGATGAAGAAACAAAAGTCAACCTCCCACCAAAACAGAATGTGGATGAAAAAAACAAAAGCCAACCTCCCACCAAAACAGGATAAGGATGAAAAACCAATAGCCAACCTCCCACAAAAACAAAGTACTTTTAACTTTTCTAGCATTTTTACGTGACGAATGATTATTATCTTTTAAGTAACTAGTTGGAGTAATTTCATCTTTTAAGTAACTAGTTGGAGTAATTTTCATTTTTTAAGTAACTAGTTGGAGTAATTTCATCTTTTTAGTGAGTAACTATTTGGAGTAATTTTAAGTAACTTGTACAGCAATTTCATTTTTTAAGTAACTAGAAGGAGTAATTTCATCTTTTTAGTAACTAATTAGAGTATTTCATCTTTTATCTAACTAGTTGGATTAATTTTATCTTTTGAGTAACTAGTTAGAGTAATTTCATAGATGGAAATTTAGAATTGAAATACTTATGTATTGGTAATAATGATATACAATAAGAGTACACACAAGATAAGAAGAAAAAATTATTTACAACAAGAGTACACAACAATATAAGATGAAAAGAGAGTTCTATGTATTTGTATTATACAAAATCTAATGAAATATTTCTAATCTGTATTTTACCTGTATAATAGGTAGAAGAGTATCAATAACTTTAGTTTCAGTATCTTCAATCTTCTGATCTCTGGCCCACTGTTCCAACTGTGCAATATTATACCTAACAAATAATATAGTTTTACAACGGGTTTTGTATATTTTAGATGTGTGCGCTCTGTCCCATATTACTAAGTATGGTTCTTCTAAAGTTAACACTTTTTCCTCTGAGAAGAGATTCTTAATAACAAAATGGTGTCCATTATACTCGGAAGAAATGATTTAAACCACTTTCTCTGGAAAATCGTATCAAATTTGACAATGACATACCTAATCTTCAAAAATCCTTTTCCATTTAATTCAGTCTTTTCCCTTGCCACATACCTTATCTGCATTCCTCTAGACCAGTGGCACATATCCTTCCTTAGAAGAAGATTATTTAGACACCCAGCACACAGGAAGTAGAATATCTGGCGGAATATCTGGGAAACTATTTCCGGGTCTAGTCCATGTTTCTGCAGGATACTGTGGAACCTGGTTAAACAGCTGAGAAGGGTATCCAGGGCAACCTATTATCATTATCATTATCATTATCATTATCATTATCATGCTATTTTACACAATATTGCAATTTAATAGCATTTGATATTGAGAATATATAGAAATATTTAAACTTCAAAATCAAGAATTTAAAAATACAATGGAAGTAACCCTGAAAATAACATATTTGACATCTTCAGAAAATCAATTAAAGTTTTTGAATTGAATGCACTTGAAATTGGATTTTTTTTTTGATTTTATAAATTCAAATACATTTAAAAGCTTTTTAATGTATAAATGAAACAAAGATAATATATATATAGATACGCTGGCAGGTAGAAACCTCCTTCCTAAATTGCTTGTAGCAGACAACTAATTTTTGTCCCTCTGAGATAAAGTGCAAGGAGAGACATCTATAGCAAATTGATTACTTTCTATATTCCTTTCTCCACCTGCTGCCATATGTAGGAAATACGCATTTGTGTTATATAAACATACAGTACGCGTACTGCATCCTGTATAGTTCAAGTGTTGCTATCTGGACCTGTTTGACCAATAAAATTAAATTTCAAGGTAACACAAACATTCAGTACGCGTTTTGTTTATGTTATGATCAGATCAGAGATGAGATTTTAAAAGATTAAACCCGAGTAAAACCCAAACTCGGGCTTAGATAGAACCCAAGTCAGGATTGGTTCTGATTCGACCAATGATAGACTGTTTTGCAATCTTTCTCTCTGTAGCAGACAGAATGACGTCAGATCGGCTGTGACAAGGAGATGTAAATTTCGAAAATTCAAACTTTATGTAGATACATATTTCCATAGTATGTTTATTTTGTATAATTAATAAAATTTGACACCACAAATAATTCCCAAGATTTTAAATGTACAAATATAAAAGATTTTACGAAATTTACGATCATCAGCTGCTGAAGACTCGAGCCTTAAAGAGAGAAAAACCCAAGAATGTTGGTTCTTACTAAACTCAAGGCCATCCAAAACCCGGGTCTTGACTTGATGCACCTTTTCTCAAGACCTCAAATTTCTACCTGCCTGCATATCTATATATGTATTATCTTTGAAATGGAAGGATACAGGATTATCAGCCAGGAGGGGAGAGGGGGTCGACTGTTACTTATTAATACACTTTTCAAGTGGCGATCCAAAAAGCTTTCCACTGGTTAAATCGTTTTGAGAACACGGCCCAATCGGTTGTTACTGGTTAGGCGGGCTGAATATCATGGTAATGAAACACAAGGTATTTATCTAATTTGCTAGGAAGTAAATGCAAATATTTTAATTTCTAATTAAATATAAAATTCATTGAAACAGAATGAAATTCAATCAATTTTCAGATATATTCTTTAATTGTTTTTCTTTTGATAAATTTTACTATTATTTGTTATATTTGCACGTTATTCATTATTGAACTACCTTCTGAATTATCATTTTTTAAAGTATTGAGTATACTGGTTCATAGGAACATATATGTCCAGTTTATGTTTATGCTTCGAATAAATTAATATTCTCTTTGTAATAAAAAGTTTTTTTCATTGGATAATATGAGTAGTACTATCCACCATGGGCCTGAGTCTTTAAACTATGTATGAGATCAAAGACGACTTTCTAGTCTTCAATCAATCTACATTACTCCAGGTTAATAAAATTTTCACTATAGTAATATGTATATTCTGAGGTTTTACGGGTTTGAGAAACTGAAATTAGGGTTAACTCTTCTGTAAAATATAAAATAACCAAGGATTCTATCTTTTAATATCGTATTTTATTCATATTTTGCAGATTCTGTTCGAATTTACTCAGGCCCATAGTATCTCCCATGAACTTGTTTTAAAATAAAGTTTAAAACAAGTAAACAAAAGAATTTGAATAAAGAAGTTCTCGTGATGTTTAGGAAAATATTTATCTTGACAAACTTTTCATGTTTTTAATGATCTACGGATCCGCTAGAGTTAAAGGGTCTGAAGATGTAATTAAACCTTTGTCTCATCAAGGATAAATGAGATTTCTCCTTATTTCTGTTACTATCATTAATATCAGAAATTTCATCTCGAAGTGAGTGACTCTCAATATGTTAAGAAACAAGACTTAGATTTTGTGTTATTTGAACTGCTAGCGCCGCATGTGTTTTAATCCTATATAACTCATAAATAAAATAATAAAACAATAAAAATAAATTGAAATAAATGGTGCAGTTGTTTGTTGTATAGAGAGCAGATTTATTACTATCAAACACGGAGCAAATTTAGAGGCCAAAGAAATAAATGCTAATAATAATGACAACAATTAACCAGCCAACCATCCTTCCGTGGAAATATAGACCGAGCCCCATGTAGAAATCGATAGTTCAAATAAATGAGAAGCAAAGTAGGCAATTTTGACATTTTGAAATCTCAGTCGTTCTTGACTAAACAACGCGTTTATATGTGTCATTGTGAATCGAACATTCCCCTTTACAAATGGAGAGAACCTTAAAATGAAGCATACAGTAAGAACGAGTAAATGCTTGAAATCTTTGTATTTCCTTCACAATGCCGCGTTTAATTACAAATCAGAGATAGATTATGCGCGTATCTCCTTTGGGCTTCTGCCTTAGAGTTCTTGTGAACAAAAAACCCCATAATGTTGAAAAGACGACCTCAAGTGTTAAATCTGTATTGCTATTAATTAATCTACGGCTGAACCCACCTTGGGATCCATATTCCCTGGACCATCCAGATCATTCCCAACAGATCCTGCTCTTCCTCTCATAGCTCGTGGCTTATCTCCTAATATAGAACAGTACAGTATACCCTGATAGATCCATACTGCTGTATCACTCAGTACACGCCTACCGTACACAAAAATATCAATTCAGTACAGTATACCCTGATAGATCTATACTGCTATATCACTCAGTACACGCTTACAGTACACAACAATATCAATTCAGTACAGTATAACCTGATAGATCCATACTGCTATATCACTCAAAACACGCCTACAGTACTCAACAATATCAGTACAGTACAGTATACCCTGATAGATCCATACTGCTATATCACTCAGTAAACGCCTACAGTACACAACAATATCAATTCAGTACAGTATACCCTGATAGATCCATACTGCTGTATCACTCAGTACACGCCTACAGTACACAATATCAGTACAGTACAGTATACCCTGATAGATCCATACTGCTATATCACTTAGTACACGCCTACAGTACACACCAATATCAGTACAGTACAGTACAGTATACCCTGGTATACCCAGGTAGATCCATACTGCTATATCACTCAGTACACGCCTACAGTACACAACAATATCAGTACAGTACAGTATACCCTGATAGATCCATACTGCTATATGACTCAGTACACGCCTACAGTACAAAACAATATCAGTACAGTACAGTATACCCTGATAGATCCATACTGCTGTATCACTCAGTACACGCCTACAGTACACAATATCAGTACAGTACAGTATACCCTGGTAGATCCATACGGCTATATCACTCAGTCCACGCATACAGTACACAACAATATCAATTCAGTACAGGATACCCTGATAGATCCATACTGCTATATCACTCAGTAAACGCCTACAGTACACAACAGTATCAATTCAGTACAGTATACCCTGATAGATCTATACTGCTTTATCACTCAGTACACGCTTACAGTACACAACAATATCAGTACAGTACAGTATACCCTGATAGATCCATACTGCTATATTACTCAGTACACTCCTAGAGTACACAACAATATCAGTACAGTACAGTATACCCTGATAGATCCATACTCCATTCAGTACAGTATACCCTGATAGATCCATACTGCTATATCAATCAGTACACTCCTACAGTTCATTAAAGCGTTGTTCAATTTTGTAAATATAAGGCCATTTTTTTCGAGAGTTCCGAAAACCTTTTAAGAGACTTAAATGTATTATAAAGTGACATTGAAACATTCAATTGGTGTTCATAATTACTTTAAATCCAATGTTGGTTAGGAACTAAAGTTTTATTTAGTAGATATAAAAAGTTATAGATAACAAATAAAACTCAAGGGTTTTAGGGCGACCGTTAAAGTAAAGAGGTCGCTCAACTACCTTACTCCGGTTCAAATCATGAATCTCCGATGCATCTTTAACCTTGAATCGGTGATTCAAATTTGAATCGGCAGTTGGTAGTTCAACGACCTAGCTCAAATTACGTAAATTAGCCCCCTGAGCTAAGAATTGTAATCTTGTATTTCTCATGGACAACACAATTTTTTAATGCGCGCTATGTGCATGCTTTGTAACTTTATTTTACTCAAAGAACTACTCAGGAGGAATCTAATAAATTCTATTTTAGTAGTTTTCAAGACAAAAATCAAATTAGTTCTGTCAAAAAACATTATTTTTTGAAACTATTCCCTTTACCTGTAGGCGGTAAGATCAAAGTTTCTAAGACAGTGTTCCACTTGTTTAGGTGTACTGTGAAGCTGGAACTGTTCCTCTCCAGAGTACTGTTTCAAGCAGTGCAGTAATCTAAATACAGTACAGTACAGTACAGTACAGTACAGTACAGTACAGTACAGTACAGTACAGTACAGTACAGTACAGTACAGTACAGTACAGTACAGTACAGTACAGTACAGTACAGTACAGTACAGTACAGTACAGTACAGTACAGTACAGTACAGTACAGTACAGTACAGTACAGTACAGTACAGTACAGTACAGTACAGTACAGTACAGTACAGTACAGTACAGTACAGTACAGTACAGTACAGTACAGTANTTCTACCTCTACAGGGTACTTTTCTACCTCTACAGGGTACTTTTCTACCTCTACAGGGTACTTTTCTACCTCTACAGGGTACTGTTCTACCTCTACAGGGTACTGTTCTTAGTATGAAATTCTTTACTCGAGAATCAGTTGAAATAAAGTTTTCAATGCCCTTAAAAATCCAAATATGAACTTCTAAACAGGAAACAAAAATAAATAAAAGATACCTGAGAGTATTGGAAAGCCACAGAGTTTTAAGTTCAATATCCGTTTGAACTTTCTGCTTCTTTATTATCTTCTTTATGTACGCTATGCCTCCCTGGAAAAGAATAAATAAACCGTTGTACAGTGTATAGTGTACAGTGTATACTATATGCTGTAAAGTCTACAGGTACAGTGTACACTTTACTCTGTAAACTGTACAGTGTACAGATACAGTATTAAGTGTTTACTTTTCTATGATCAATGCACTGTGTAAACTTTATTTTGAACAGTGTACACTTTATTCTGAACATTGTACAGGTACAGTGTACAGTGTTCACTTTACTATTTACAGAGTACAGGTCCATTGCACACTGCACAGTGTACGCAGCTTAAACATTGGACAGATTATAATGTAAAGAGTGGACTGTACAATGCATGTACACATACTAAAAAAAACTATCGAACTTGAAGATATTTAGAAACTAGGAAACTAGGAAACTAGGAAACGAAGATATTTAGAAACTAGGAATCGAAGATATTTAAAAACTAGGAAACTAGGAATCGAAGATTTTCAGAAACTAGGAAACTAGGAAACGAAGATATTTAGAAACTAGGAAACTAGGAAAAGAAGATATTTGGAAACTAGGAAACTAGGAAACAGATATTTGGAAACTAGGAAAATGTTTCTGGTAAGTTCGATATTACGAATACAATGTTAAGGTCTCTTCTTACAGTGCAGTGCTGTGTACCATGTACATTGTGCGGTGCAGTACTGTGTACCATATACAATGTACAGTGCAGTACTGTGTACCATGTACATTGTATAGTGCATGCTGTGTACCATGTACATTTAAAGTGCAGTACTGTGTACCATGTAAATTGTACAGTGCAGTACCGTGTACTATGTACAATTTTCAATGTTCAATTTACAGCGCAATACTGTGTGCCATGTACAATGTACAGTGCAGTACTGTGTACTATATGCAATTTAAATTGCAGTACCGTGTACCATATTCATTGTAAAGTGCAGTACTGTGTACCATGTAAATGTACACAGTGAAGTACTGTGTACCATGTACAATGTACAGTGCAGTACTGTTTACCATATACAATGTACAATGAAGTACTGTGTACCATGTACATTGTAACGTGCAGTACTGTGTACCATGTAAATTGTACAGTGCAGTACCGTGTACCATGTAAATTGTACAGTGCAGTACCGTGTACGGTGTAAAATTTTCAATTTACAATGCAGTACTGCGTGCCATGTACCAGTCCAGTACTGTGTACTATGTGCAATTTACAGTGCAGTACCGTGTAACATGTACATTGTACAGCGCAGTACCGTGTACCGTGTGCAATTTTCAATGTTTAATTTACAGTGCAGTACTGTGTGCCATGTACCAGTGCAGTACTGTGTTCTATGTAAAATGCACAGTGCAGTACTGTGAATGCTGTACATTGTAAAGTGCAGTACTGTGTACCATGTACAATGTAAAGTGTACAACTGTGTACCATGTACAATGTACAATGTAAAGTGCAGAACGGTGTACCATGTGCAATGTACTATGTACAAAGTACAGTGCAATACTGTGTACCATGTACATTGAACAGTGCAGTACTGTGTACCATGTACATTGAACAGTGCAGTACTGTGTACCATGAATAATGTACAGTGTAAAGTGTACAACTGTGTACCATCTACAATGTAAAATGTACAGTGCAGTACTGTATACACTGTACCATGTACCATGTACAATGTACAATGTACAGCGTACAGTGCAGTACTGTTAATCTTGTATATTGTGCAGTGCAGTAAAGTGTACCATGTACAGTGTACACTGCAAAATTGCTGTGTTTCATGTTCACATATAGGTCTATTTGGAATCATAACTTGAGTCTAACAGTCGTCTTCCTATTCCAAAATGTATTGGTTCTTCCTGTATTTTCTGTACCTGTATAAGGGTTCGAACATTCTTTTCGTCGTTTATATGATCCAGGTGACGGATTAACATGAACAAGAAGTAGGCCGGCAGGCCAGGCGGTAGCTGGCTTGCAACTTTAGGTTTCAGATCTAAAAAAATTACATCATTAAAGGGACTAAAAAAGTTATCGGAAGTGACCTTATATACATTCTTAACATTATTCACGTGTCCGATTCACTATAGTATTCACGTGTCTGATTCACAACAGTATTCGCGTGTCCGATTCACATCAGTATTCACGTCTCCGATTCGCAACAGTATTCACGTGTCCGATTCACAAAAGAATTCACGTGTCTGATTCACATCAGTATTCACATGTCCGATTCACAACAGTATTCACGTATCCGATTCACCACAGTATTCACGTGTCCATATCCTAATATGCTAATCCTAACCTAATATAATTCCTTATCCTGACCTAATATAATTGCTAATCCTAACCTGTTATAAATCCTAATCCTAACCTGAGATATTTCCTAATCCTAACCTAATATAATTTCTAATCCTAGCCTAATATAATTCATAATCCTAACGTTGTGTAGTTACATTGCTAATCCTAACCTTATATAATTCCCAATCGTTACCTGATGTGTTTCCTAATCCTAACCTGATATGATTCTTAAACCTTTACTGATATAATTCTTAATCCTAACCTGATATAATTCTTAATCTTAACCTGATATAATTCTTAATCCTACCCTGAAATATTTTTCAATCTTAACCTAATGTTATTAACCCTTTCCTAATATTATTCCTAATCCTATCCTTATATAATTTCTAATCCTAACCTGAAATAAGAGCCCGTAGAACCTTATCCTCCATTGTTTTATCATACTCCAGCATACCAAGACAGTTCTGCTCAATCCTAGATTAGTATTGATAATGATAACAATGATAACAATGAAAACAATGAAAACAATGAAAACAATGATAATAATGATAATAATGATAACAATGATAACAATGATAACAATGATAACAATGATAACAATGATAACAATGATAAATAATAATAATAACTACTCTCCGAGCTAATCAGCTACACAGCTACTCCTGGAGCTAATCAGCTACACAGCTACTCTTGGAGCAAATCAGCAACACATCTACCCCCAGAGTCAATCAGCTACACAGCTACTTCTGGAGCTAATCAGCTACACAGCTACTCCCGGAGCTAATCAGCTACAGAGCTACTCCTGGAGCTAACCAGCTACATAGCTACTCCCGGAGCTAATTAGCTACACTGCTACTTCTGGAGATAACACATCTGTTTCTGGAGCTAACCAGCTAAACAGCTACTTCTGAAGCTAAAAGCTAAAAAGCTACTCCTGGAGCTAAAAGCTAAAAAGCTACTCCTGGAGCTAAAAGCTAAAAAGCTACTCCTGGAGCTAAAAGCTGAAAAGCTACTCCTGGAGCTAAAAGCTAAAAAGCTACTCCTGGAGCTAAAAGCTAAAAAGCTACTCCTGAAGCTAAAAGTCACTATGCTACTCCAAAAGCTAAAAGCTATAAAGCTACTCCTATTCTATACTAATGGAACTAACAAGCAACCCAGATCAACTTCTTCCTATGGGACAGCTTTCCAAAGCAACTTATTTCCAATGATTTCTCAAATCATTCCATATCAGTCTCAACCTCCAATGGATCTAGAGACTTGGGGGGACCTATGCAGCAGCAATAATTCGATTCTAAATGAGAGTTAAGAATGGTCGAGAATTATGAGGAAAATCCGGGAATAGGAAAACCGGTATTCAGGAACCAGTCAGTCTCCTCCCTCAAACACGAGAACATGTACTCCTGGATATTAATATATGTTCATTTAACTATTTAGAATAAACCACATATGTACATTTGTTCCTTTAAAATATGATAATAATGATAATAATGATAATAATAATAACATGATAATAATGATAATAATGATAACAATGATAATAATGATGAGAATGCGCTTCCAATGAGGACAAACATTTAGAATGCATAAAAAAGTATGCAAAAAGAAAATGCACTTATTATATAATAGGATTTTGATTTTAACAAATGTACCAATGGCTATGGTTTCAATGGTTTCAATGGTACAAATGGTAATAAATTGGTAACAATGGTACTAATATCAATCTAGAATATCCCTGAATTATTTAAAAAATAGAAAAATAATAAAACCTTGTAATAGCAGGTAGTGTAACATCATTTTCATTTTGCTTTTGATCCCTTTCTTCTGTTTCACTGATACCGCCTTGAAATAAAAGTGATCTATAAATCTATATATGAATTTAGCTTGTCTGTATGTCTATTTGTTTGTGTCCAATAAACGTCAAAATGGCTGAACCGATCGGGCCCAAATTTTTTATGGGACCTCACGTAGCCTCAGGGAAGGTTTATGAATGATCAAAATTTCAAAATTTGCCTCTATCAAGATTGAATTTTCATTAAATTTTTGAAAATCTTGAAAATCCATGAAATTTTGTAATGAAATCAGCGATTTTTTTGTTTTGTTAACAGTGTACACATAGAGACAAATATAACATGGGCGCACAGCGCCCTAAAATTAGAGAAAATTGTGATTTTTTAATATATGTTAAATCATACATCAAAGCAAATCAAAATAATTAAGAACGTCCTACTTCGTCATTCACACATAAGAAAGTGACAATCAAATCAGGACTAAAACTTTTTTTAAATACAAAAAATTCCATTTTGCAAAAAGTTTAACTGAATCTCAGAAACGTCGTTTTAATGTATGTAGAAATTATATCAAAACTATAAAATGGGTTAAACTTGATCAAGTCTTACATAAGAACTCGAAGTTATCCTCTATACTGTAAAGACGAGAATGCACTCTGTATGCTTTCCATGCCAAATCTATGCTACAGAGAGTCCCAAAAAGAAGAAGAAACGATTGCAAATATTGTCTTTTATATCTATTAACTTATCAACTGATTGGGGCAATATTCCTTGTTTAGGGCATAGTGAACATGATTCACAATAAAAGGGGGCAACATTTTTCAATCTCTTAAATCAAGTTTAAAAAAATAAATATTAAACTGGTCGAATAGAATTCATTAGAATAGGAATACAATCATGAAATCTTGAATCCAGAGACAGACTATGGTATTTTTTGATTTTTGTGATCCTCAAAACCAAAATTTTTTTTAAAAAGTAATGAATTTTGGGATAAAACTATCAAAAAGAGTTGACACTGGACAAATTGGCCAATTCATTTTCTAGTTACCCATGAGCATTGAAAATCCCCCCCCCTCTATTTGTGCAAATAAATCAAAAGAGTATATATTTATATAGATAAAAAAATACGTATATAATAGTTTTATAATGTTAATTTAATGGTTTTATCAAAAGAATATATGTATGGATACAACTCAAAAAACATCTGATGAATCAATTTAATGGCTGTCTGGCTCTAATTTAAAAGACAATGTATAAATCTATTCATAAATCTCCATCTTAATTGAACTCCCTTCAGAATCCTTGTTGACTGATGAGTTGTCAAACTTGGAGTCTTCAATTTCATATTTTCAAAATAAATCTTTCCTCCATCCATCAGAGCCGGCTTCAGGTGGAGGGAAAAGGGCATCCCCCCCCCATAGAAAACTGGGCGGACGTCTCCCCCTGGAGCGTAGGCACCTTCTGATCCTTGAATTTGGATTTTCAAGAAACGAAAAATCTGAAAACAAATTTCCACCTTCCACCCCCAGTTTGTCAAGGTTTTGACATAAAAATGACTAAATTCTCTTTAATGACAAATTGCAAGCAATCCTTTTAAATAAACTATGAAAAAGCTTGATAGTCACCTCAAAATTAACTTTCCCTGAGCCCGCGATTAAAAAAATTCGGGAAAATATGGCTCGGGTCTAACCTTTCGTTGGGCCTTATTTTACGGCTTGAGTTTTCGGATTCAAGCTGCTTCTTATTTACCACAGAGTTGAGTTAAAAAAACCGGTTTAATATTCTATTTGGCGGAATTTTATGGTAGGAATTGGCGCATTCCGGGTTCTTATTAGAACAAGACTCAATATTAACCCTTATTCTCCACTAAAACCAACCAAGGTCGGTTTTATTCTCATTGGGCCTAACTCCTTAAGTCGAGCCGAAGATCTTGCATCTGTCAATCACGTGACACAAGCTGTTGTCAGAGTTGGGTCGAAGATTGGGGTTTAAAGTCGGGTTTAAGGAAAGTGGCTTGAGCCAAAGTTTTTAAATTGCGGGCTCTGAACTGGTAATTAAGAATAAAGAGGGCAGGGTCAAAACTCTGAAAATATAAACCCCTTTTATTTGCTGATCAGTGTCTAGAGTGTAGATGTTGATGGTTTCAGGGTTAATCACAATATTCCCATCTGCTAGTATCAGAGGAGGGGGGTACACCTGGTTCACCAGAGATAAATAATTATTCTTGGATTCAACATCAACCGTCATCAACAAATTTAAATAAAGAAGAAAACTTTCTTGTATTTCTGCCGAAAATTAAAGCTTTTTGTTCAGAACTCAATTAATGTTTTACATAATGGTTAAGATGTCCTAATTGATGAGAGGGGGGGGGGGGGTCTTTGCCTTTATTATTTATTCAAATCTTCCAATTTTTTGGCTGCCCGCCTAATTAGTGATTTATTTTCCTAAATTAAAAAAACTTAGACACTAGTGACATGTATGACATTTCATGACCTTAACAAATAGAAAGTGTTTTAACTATGCCTTCAGGCATATCAAACGAAAGCTAGGAACCCAGACAATACAGTAGTAGCAGCAAGGAATTCAGTGTTTGACCTTTTAATCACCTCAACGACCTTTATGACCTCTAATGACCTCTAATGACCATCAAATTGAAAGTGTTACAACAATGGCTTTATATGCATATCAAACCCAGGCAATACAGTAGCTGCAACAAATTCAGTCTTTGAACTTCAAATGAACTCCAACGACCTCAACGACCTATAACGACCTCTAATGATCTCCAAATTGAAAATGTTATAAATATGGCGTTATGCATGTTGGACAAAAGCTAGAAATCCAGGCTATAAAGTAGCAGAAATGAATTCAGTGTTTGACCTTCTGTGGATGACTAAACCAGCAAGGCTCTTAAAACTGAAAAGTACTTCCAATAATAAAAAAAAATAAAAAAGGATTTCAAAATATTATTTAATCCAAAATTTGTCCCATTTTTAAGAATCCTTTTGGAATATAATTTTATAACTTAAATAATAAAATAAAAACCGGACATGGTGTGGTATATATTAAAACTGGAATAGTTTTTTCAAGAAAAATATAAAACTCCTAAATCCTGTCTCAGAACCTAGTTTATTTACAACTAAAAACAAGGTCTAAGCTCTTAAATCGCTGGAGAAAAACATTATTCAATTTAAAACTTTTAAAACTTTTAGCTTATATAAAATATTCTTTTATAACATCCTTTCAGTATATTTCAGTCTATATTTCAATATAACAGGACATCAAAATTAAATCTGAGGAGTGGTTTGATTAAGAAAACCTAAGTGAATACTAATAAGGAAAATGTGCAAATGAGGTCCAATAATGTGACCTCTTAATTAATCTCTTATCTAAAACTACAATAAAAACTAAATCCAGAGCCCGCGATTTAAAAGCTTCGGCTCGAGTTGTAATTCCTTAAACCCAACTTTAAGACCCAATCTTAGACCCAACTCTAACGACAGCTTGTGTAACGTGATTGACAGCTGCAAGATCTTTGGCTCGACTGAAGAAGTTAAGCCCAATGAAAATAAAACGGACCTTGATTGGTTTTAGTGGAGAATAAGGCTTAATGTTGGGTCTTATTCTCATAAAAACCAGGAATGTGCCTATTCCATGACTATGAAAATCCGCCAAATAGAATATTAAACCGGTTTTTTGAATTAAACTCTGTGGAAAATAAGATGCAGCTTTAATCCAAAAGCTCAAACCGTAAATCAGGTCCAACGACAGCTTAGACCCGAGCCGTATTTCCCCGAATTATTTAAATCGCGGACTCAGGAAACTTTATATTTATACAAAGTTGAAACAAGTCCTGATAAATCTAAATTTGAACCTAAAAATTAACTGAGATATTTGAAAATTGTGCCTCATGGTTTTTTTGTTTCTTTATATAGCTGCGACACTCCTCACTTGTCCTAATCATAAGAGCTTAGCCGGCATTTACTTGAAATCCATGTTTAAAACAACATATTAGCGTTCTGCTCTACATTTAAGAAATTTTCACCACAATATTTGTGGATAATAAAATAAAATTAAAAATTTAATTTTTATCTTTTCCTCTGCTAGTTTTCGAGTCCTGCTTCCAAATGGCATTTCTTCATTCCTTTTCTTTACAGCTTTATTTAGATTCTTTCAGCATTTTCGTTAATTCCGCGCAATTTGAAGCAGTTTCGAGTTTAATTCCGAAAAATTCTGCGCAAAGGAATTCCGTTTGGAAACCCTATCTTCCACTAGACACTTGCTTCAAACTTAAAGGAGAAGGATTTACTACAGTTAACTTCTAATTCTCATTTTTAGTTTTAAACTTTTAGTTCTAGTCTAAGCTAGAGGTTAAACTAATCCTTCAAGTGTAGATAAGGAGGGTAATTAACAAGTTTGACTCAACACACAAATAAGACAAATTGGACATTTTTATAAAAAATATAATATTTTCCAGTGCATATTAAAACATATTTTGGTAACATACCTTTTTTTTCTATACATAATATACATTTAAGTTTTTATAATGGAATTTTTTTATTTTGTTTCTAATGAACCAGGCTATCGAAAAAGACAGAAAGTACAATTCTGACATAAAATAATATTTTTTATTTATGGGACTGTGTAGAAGTCATTTCAAACGACCCTCAGTTACAGAGTGACACTTGAAAAAAGAATGCAGTCCCTTTAATGATTTTATCCGTTAAGGTGTAAATTGTACAATTCAATCAGTTGAGATTGCTTATTTGTAATTTATCATGCTTAGAAGTTAAATAAAATAAAAATTAACCTGTGAAAAAAAGAAAAAATTTGAAAAAAAATCGTTCTTTTTATTCCGTGTCACCCCCAGGCTACCCAGGAGTGTCCACAAAAAAATTCAGCCCATTCGACAGCTGTTTGGCCGGCCAGAGGGAACATATATATGAATGTTTTGTTTTATTATATAGAACGTTGTAGAAGATGAAATAAACTTGTCCAGTAACTTAAAACCACATTGACAATCATCAACACAACACTATCTTTTAATTATGTGAATTTAAAATAGACCAGGAGAACTCAGTGGTGAGTATAATCGGATTCTTTAATAATATTAAACCGTCTAACTAGTAAAGGGAATCCTAACTTTACCACTAAGCTGGGGTGAAATAAAAACTTATAGGTCAATTTTATAATTCAAATCCATCTCTCGTAAATCCCAAAATTTGTTTTCTTTGAAATTTACTTTCAAAGAACATAATATTTCTGTTAAAAAAACGGGAGAGTGAATTAGGAAATCATAAACCCCCTGATAAGATTTATAAACGGGATTAACGTCTTATCAGAAAAAAATATATTTTATTTCTTATCATTATGGAAAAACTTTGAGATATTTAATTTCCTCTTCAGTGGTTGCTGATTTTTGAATGCCAGCCATGATAAAATACCCAAAGTCAAAACTTAATTAATTAATAAAAGAGCCTGATCATAAACACAGCTAATTCGAATATTCGCGAACAGTATGCTAATTGGTCACAAGGATGTAATGCAAGGAAAGTTATTTCAGAAGTGTACACATCTTTTGTACTGCAGTGTACTGTCACTGGGCGATAATGTAAACACAAGACGGATGTCGAAGCCTGACAAGGGATCCATCTTCCACATAAAAAATCAATGAAATATTCTGGTCTTAGGAAACTATTATGTGAAATGTGAATTGTCAAAATTATAAAATTTAATGCTTTTAACCTCCTCGGATAATAAACGAACACTGATGCATCTATTCTTGTTTACAAATTCCGCCCAGAGAGAACTAGTTTCAATTTGTATGCAGAGTATATGCGACCGCAATTAACTTTCCTTGCATTACATTCTTGATTTTCAGATCTCTAAATATCCAATATGGAGCTTACCTCCATAATCTGCCAGCTTCTTCATGTACAGTTTCAGCTGTTTCTTTAATCTCTTGGTCAGCTCAGTTAGAGTCTCAATCTTCTCTCGTAGATCAAAGTTCTCGCCTAAAGTATATTAGTATGGAGATACAGACACGATTTAAAATATGACGATCCCAGGGTTAAATCAAGTCTTCAGTCTTCAACATGATCTTTTAGTGACTTAATTAATGATCTAGATAAGAGAGAAAAAAGTTTAAAGTGGCAGGAATCATGAATATAAGAACATAAACAGTATATTTTTTGTACTTAGATATCTCGACTTTGATCATTGTGATTAGATCATATAGAGTGCTTAAGTCAATGTACTTAGATCAGTGTACTCATCACTGGACTAAGATGAGTAGTTTGCAATTAGCTCAGTGGCCGAATTTAAAGAATTTGAGCGGCGGTTTAAATTTAAGCCGCGGTTTAAATATGGTTGGTTCCACTTAAAATTGTATCAAATGTTTCAAGATTTAAGCTGGCGCTTAATTTAAACCGGGTTTTGGCGGATTTAAACCGCGGCTCAAATTCTTTAAATTCCATCTCAGNTCCTTAATCTTTTTTACCTGTTAATCTTTGTAATTCATGCTGCATGATAGCTTCTGTTTGGTTGGCAGGATTTCTTTTCAGATTAGTTGTTAAAACTTGTTGGGCATCCCTGTATACAATGAAGTAATTAATTAGATCTACTGATCTACCCCCCCCCCCCTCATTGAAGAGAATCGTCTTATTTTTCCTAAAATTAAAAGGATTCCACGCGACTCTGGTACATTTTGGGAGAAAATATTATTGAAATGTGCCCCCCCCCCCATGTTAGGCCAATCTTATCCCATTAGCTTTAAAAAATAAATAAATAAGGAACCGCAATGCTGGAAAATATGTGAAAATAAGCGACCTAGTAAAATGCATTAGAATCAATTAACATGATGTTATAGTCTAGGGATTATCAAATACGGTCGGTGTTTTTCCACCTCTGAGATTGACCGTGAAATACATGAACACTCTCAGAATATTCTTTCTCAAATTAATGTTCACCGAATTTGATAAGGTTTCATGACAAGGACTTCTTTCGGAACTGAACTAGTTTTTCATTTTATAATTTTTTAAGTCATTCGCTTTTGTAAGCACTTTCTTACTTATATTCATAACACTTGAGCATTAAAAAGAGGGAGTGAGGATTTACACCTAATTCAATCCAAACAAAAATACGTTATATGTTGTCATTTCCATTTTTGTATCATAAAAATGAGACACCGTTTTAAAATCTGTCTCTCAATCATCTATTTTGTGAAATTACTCTAAAATATTTAATTACCTGTTAGCTAACGTCATTTTTTCCAACTCCGTTCTCAGATTGGATTCTGTGCTTCTAGATTTATCTCTCTCCTCTGCTAGCGTAGTCTAGATAAGACAGGGATATCAGTGTATGCTTTATCACCTTTTTACCAATTTTACAGACCCATGATTCTCCCCAACAGTGAGATGTTGAATTACTCAACTGTCCCTAAAGACAATTAAGTAATGAGCAAAGTTTTTGTAAAAAAATTTGCGCATTTTCTCCTCAAACGATAAAATTGAGAAAATTGAGTACTACTACTTTTTCGGGAAATCAATATTATTTACTAAACCTCGCGGGTTCCCTCGACCTATTTCCTGGGCAACAATGACAAAGCAAATTTCCTTGTAAAATAGTTGTAAAATGTAAAATGGCTAAATTACGGTTTTACGGTTTACTGGGTTAAAATTCATCCAATTATTTTTCAGAAAAGTAAAAGTAAATTTAAAATTGAGATGACTGATTTTTACTTTTAACGCTAAAAAATATTCGATAAGACAGGTCGAATCGTCTACAACGAAAGAATTTCTAATAATGCTGGTTTAAGTATCAACTTTTTATGCCAAATCATCCTGAGTTCGAATTTGAGCCGCATCTCAAACCCGCCAAAAACCAGTTTAAATTGAGCGCCGGCTTTTGTCTTGAAACATTGAATACAATTTTAAGCGGAACCAACCATATTTGAGCCGCGTCTCAAATTTAAGTCGCGACTCAAATTATTTAAATTCGGCCTCTGAAGAATCATTTTCCAGTTGACCCGTGTTGACCTGTAGTTGACCTGTAGTTGACCTGTAGTTGACCCGTGCTGACCTGTAGTTGACCTGTATTTACCTGTAGTTGCTGAATAACATTCTTCTGGCTCTCATAAGCAATTAATAGTTCTTCAATGTCCGGTTCTCCCTCTCCCATAAATGAGGCCGGATCAACCTTTATTACAAGATATTTGATATACTTCCATCCAAGAATGTAATGCAAGGAAAGTAAATTGCAGTTGCGTATACTCTGCGTACATATTGAAACCAGTTCTCTCTGGGCGGAATTTGTAAACAAGAATAGATGCCTCAGTGTTCGTTTAGTATCCGATCGAGGTTAAAAGCATTAAATTTTGATAATTTTGATAATTCACATAATAGTTTCCTATGACCAGAATATTTCATTGATTATTTATGTGAAAGATGGATCCCATGTCAGGCTTAGACATCCGTCTTGTGTTTACATTACCGCCCAGTGACAGTACACTGCAGTACAAAAAATGTGTACACTTCTGAAATAACTTTCCTTGCATTAAATCCTTGCTTCCATCATTCAAACGCATTCATAAAAAAAGCTTTATTTTCATTTTTTAGTAATAGAATTTAATTTTGACGGAATATGCCTGTTTTGGGAAAAAGTATAAATAAAAAGGAAATTTAAATTTTGTCAAATTTAGAATTATTATCATTCTTATCATTTTGAAAGTTATTAAATACATTTATGGTTCATATCTGGTTGTCAACTTGTTTTCCTATTCCACGGTTAGAAGATAAACATCACTTTTTATCAAAAATATCTTGAACATTGGAAAACGTATTTACAATCTACACTGTACATTGAACACTGTACACTGTACAGTGTAGTTTTCAAGAATAAACGATGTGGGGATCTAGGGGGGGGGCCAGGGCGAAATAAAATCTTTAATCCTCTTTCGCAAAAAAATATAATGTACTTTTTGAAGAAAATTATGTTAACCAAAAACGTCGATGAACATTTAGAAACTGCAACTTTATTAATTTGCAGAGCAAACACAGTTTAAACTATACTAAGCATCTTGCAGCAACATAAACTACACATTTTGAGAAAACATAATTTTTTTTAAGAAATTAAAAAATCTTAGTTTTCAAAAAATTCTGAATACATTAAAACCCAAGAATGACAATTCAAAAAAGAAAAAGAAATGAACTGCAGCAGCTAGTAATTCAAAAAAGAAAAAGAAATGAACTGCAGCAGCTAGTAATTCAAAAAAGAAAAAGAAATGAACTGCAGCAGCTAGTAATTCAAAAAAAAAAAGAAATGAACTGCAGCAGCTAGTAATTCAAAAATGTTTTCTCAACCTTTAACTTTTCTTTAAGATCTCCTAATATTTCATTAAAATGTAAAATAAACCCTAATTAATGGTTTATCTGGAAATTCTTTAACAAAGGTTTAAGAATTAACTAAGGAACAATGCTAAAGAGTACCTTGGACCCTTTCTAAAAACTTATTGATTAAACTGTTCATCCTTCTACATAATCCTAATCCTAATCCTAATCCTAATCCTAATCCTAATCCTAATCCTAATCCTAATCCTCATCCTAATCCTAATCCTAATCCTAATCCTAATCCTAATCCTAATTATAGTTATAATAATACTGGAGTCTAGGTTATAATTACCTGTACATTAGCTAGAACAGTTTTCAATTGTAAACATTCTTCTCTTCTTCTCTCCAGCTCCTCCTCTAAGCTGGAGTACTGATCTAAACACAAAACCAGATATCAAAGATAAATCTAACCCAGGACAACATCAATTCAGAATATTTCTTTCTTAAATTTTAAATCTTATTTAATATTAAAGTTTCAAGAATACATACATATATTATATATATATATAAATATGATACAAAGCCTATAAATTATATAACATTGAACAGTATCAAATAGAACAATTTTCACCAAATCTATTATTAAACAATGCAAATAGTGCAAATTTATTAATGACGCTTAAAAAAAGATACATTGATCCGCAGTTCAAATTGACTTAAGTAATTTTGACACATTGCGAATCAACAAAATATAAAATTTACGTACATTTAAAGTAACCTTATGTAATATTGACGCATTGCGAATTAACAAAATATAAAATTTACGCACATTTAAAGTAACCTAATGAAATAATGACACAATACAAATTGACCTGATGTAATTACGGCACGATACAAATTTACCTAATGTAAAAATAACGCAATGGAAATTGGCCAATTTATGAGTTGAAGCAATTGGATCCACTCACTGGGCTTTGTTTATTTAGCCATATATTAAATTGATATAAACAATTTTTAAGATGATATATTACCCATGATTTCTCGGAGGGCGATATTTTCCTCTCCTTCTCCTTCTCCGCTCTGATGGCAAAAATGTGAAAAAATTGTAATTTAAACAGAGTTTAGGATCCTTTAGATTTTTGCTTCCTGGATGCGGAAAATCTGCAAATCTACGGATCCTACTCCAAGTGGCAAAATAGAAAAAAAAGAAACTAAAACATCGTAAAAGTTACTTTTTGTATTAAAAAAAACAGTTAACACACTTTAATTGTGTCAACCAAAGAAATATTATTAAATCCTTCCAAACCACTGAATGCCGACTTGGCATTTAGGATTTAAATCTTTTTAAAACGAGAGCTCTCCCCAAGAATAGCGGAAATTTTCTTTTATTGTTTTAAAATCTTGAATTAATCGATTATGAAATTGTATGCTTAGGTTTCTAAGAAAATAAACTGTCTATAAAGGTTTTTTAGCCGTTATTTAATACAAGCTGCAGACCCCAAAAATCTTGAAAAATCTTTTAAATTTTATTTAGCCTATGTCACCCCGAGGCTACCCATGAGTGTCCGCCCATTAGGTCCAACTGTTCGGCCGGCTATAGGGAAAACATATACGAATGTCTTGTTTAATTATATATATAAAGAACCAATTAAAATCCAACCTCCAGGTGAAAAAGTTTTTAACTTTTCAAAATATGAATAACTAAGTTTATCATAAAAAGAAGCTGTGCTGTAAAAAAGTTCTAATTTTTTAAGTTTTAGCATGAGATGAAAGGAAAATTTGCTCCTTGATGTTGATGCAGAAATATCGCATTATGTTAGAAAATTAAAATGTTTTAATTTTTATATTAACCTATTGAAAAAATATCGAAACTTTGAATACGTTGTTCAAAATTGTGATCGTATATGATGAATTATGAACAAGATGTTCGAAAAAAAAGTTCAATATTGCGAAGAAAATGTTAAGGTTTCTTCTATCAGTACATTAAAACATTAGAAAGAATATTTCACAATATCCCTGGGCGATACTTCTTCTCAGAGCATCAATATTCTCCTTCAGCTTTCTATTCTCTAGTTCAAGGTCCTCAACCTTAACATTAAAGGGACTGTTTGCAAGAAATCCTCAATTAAGAGTGAACTGTCTGATTCAAAACAGTACCTTAAATCTACGAACAATTGGTGGGAAAAGCCTTATTTTTCAAACTGATAAAAAATCAGTTTCAATTGCGTTTTCTCTATGTAAGTGAATTGCAATATAATTTTTTGAAGGTTTAGTGATTTCAAGAAAAAAATGGATCTTAGGTCACTGACCTCCATTTAACCTGGTTAATCCCACAATGTAAAAGAGGTCCCAATATTGTTGTTGACAAAATTGGCTTTAAAACAAAAGCTGAAAATTTCAGTGATTTGAAGTATTTATTTTAATTTTCAGGGGCCTTGAGCGTAATTTAAAGTGACCCCTTCATGGAAAGATGGCAATGCCCGATTCACAGCGCTACCCTTAAAAGCTTTGAATTAGATATTAATATTTATAATTCTTTAAACGGATTATTTCTCTACAAAAGGGAGACGCGCATTTCTACTGCAGGAAAACACATAAGAATTCTTAGAAATTAACGTAAATTTAAACTTAGACAAGAGACAATATCTTTCACATTATTGATCATAAAAATGTTTTCGTTCCATGGAACGTCACTTGAAAGTTAAAGGAATCAGAATTTACCTTGATCTTGTCTTGTGCAACAGCAGCAGCAGTTCCAACAGCATTGTTGTTGTTGTTTCCATTCCTTCCTTCCAGTTCATCAATTCTTCTTTCCAGACTTTCCTTCTCCCTTTCCATACTCTCCCGTATCCTTTGTTCTTCTTTCAGGGCTCCCTTAATATTCATTTATTATTCATTTATTCTTCTTCTATTCCATTCTCTTACTTATAATTCGAATTCAAATATATTAGAAGCTTGCTTTTTCTTAAAAACAAATCTAATTCTCAAATAGTTTCCAAGAATAGTTTATTTTGAATATTTTAACAATGATGGATAATATTATTATTATTATTATTCAAATAAAATCTAACAAATACAAAAATACATAATTTCTTTCTGTTTTTTTTGTATTTTACACAAAATGCTTATCAAATTTCAAAGATCTAAATGGGTACAAGTTACTTATCAAATCATAAAATTGCGTATGTTAATCTTTTAATTGATAAATTAATTTTTAACAGATCGGGGTAAGTTATAGGGTAGGGGGCGGGGCTTTTTTGATTTTTTATACCTAAAATAACTTAAGTTTGAGAACCCTAATATTTACCTTTCAAAAGTTCAAGCAAAAAAACAAACCCTATTTAAAAATTATATATGCACAAATATTATATATGCGCAAATTTTATATATGCGCACATAATTATTTTAATATCCGCACATAAATCGATTTTCATATTTCATTTTGTTTGCCTATCTAGAAGCAAATAGATGTTTTATTCACAATTTTTCTGGGGTAATCCGAACTATCTAGATGTGAACTTTGATTTTCAGAAAACATCAAGATTTTTTGTAGGTTTTATAAGCCATGAGACCTTAGCTTCTGAAATCAAAATCTTAGCTTATAAGCTAAAAACTTGGAAAATTTTAATAGGAATTCATACATCTGTTTTAATCGCACTTAACAGCCATAAAAAGACAAAATATTAAGAAACTTATTATATAAAAGCTTTAGATATATACATTTTGCGCAACATTGCCGCTATACATAACAACTCTTCTGCTTTCCAATTTGGAGCTGTAGCTGAGTATAGGTCATAGAATGAAGTAAATCTTAGTTTTATTATCATGTATTTTTCAGGAAATGCACTTTACTCTATATATATGTTAATATATAATATATGTTAATATAATATATATGCCATAAATTTTAAACCGACGCGATCGAGGTAAGGTGGAGGGGGGGGGAAGGGGACATTTTCAAATATAATTTCGATTGTTTTCTACCTGTAGTTTCATAAGAAGTCCAATATCCTGATTGTTATCATTAACTGTCATACTCTCCAGTAGATTATCCCTATATTAATATTAGATAATTTTTAAATAAATGTAGTGTTTATTTTAATTTTAAAGAGGATGTTCAAAAACAGTGCGTAATAAAAACTAAACGAGGCTTTGGTGTAATTTAAAGTGACACTGTTTCCAAAAAGTCGCATTTCAACACCACGACAATTTTAGTTCAATCATTATATGAGGGAGGAGAATTAAAATATTCATGAAAACTTTTAAAAAATGTTTTTTTTCATAACTTTGTTAAAAGGGTTTTAAAAACTTTACAAAAATGTTTTTCTTTCATAACTTAGTTAAAATGTTTTTATAAACTTTACAAAAATAGTTTTTAATTTAACTTCATTGAAATGCTTTTAAAAACCTAATATTGTTATGTTCTTATTTAGCTTAATCAAAATATTATTAAAATTTTATCAAATGTTATCAAAACTTTATCAAAATGTTATGAAAACATTATCAAATGAAATCAAAACATTATCAAAATGTTATTAAAACTTTATCAAAATGTTCCTAAAACTTTATCAAATGTTTTGTAAAAATCTTAATTCAAATGGATTAAAAAAAAACTTCATTCAAATGTTCTTAAAAATCTTCGTTTATTTATTTATTTATTGAAACTTAAGCAAACTCTTCCTAAAACCTTTATCAAAACGGTATTAAAAACTTAATCAAATCTTCTAAAAACTTATAAAACTTTGCTTAAACATTTTATCAAAATGATTTTTTTATTTATGAAAATCTTTCATAAAACTTGATTAAAATGTTCAACAATTAATAAAAATGTTCCATATAACTTAATTGATATGTTCTAAAAAATCTAATAAAAATATTCTTTACAAACTTAGTCAAATCTTTTAAAAACTTAATGAAACTGTTCTTAAAACTTTCATCAAAATGTTAAAAAAAAACTTATTCAAATGTTCCATAAAACTCAATTAAAATGTTCTATAAAACTTGTTATAGATGATCGTTAAAAACTTGTTCAAAATGTTTTAAAAGAGATGAAATCGTTGTTAAAACCTTTATCAAAATGTTATTTAAAAACTTTTATCCAAAATTTCTATAAAAACTATGATAAAAATTTTCTTTAAAAACTTTGATAAAATGTTTATTAAAAACTTTTATCAAAATTTTCTTTAAATCTTTGATCAAAATTTTCTTTAAAAACTTTGATTAAATTTTTTTTTAAAACTTTTGATCAAAATTTGTTTAACAACTAGGATCAAAATTGTCTTTAAAAACTTTGCTTTGATTAAATTTTTTTTTAAAAAGTACCTTTCTAAAGTGGAGACCATGCTGCTCCTCCCTGATCCTCCATAGGCTGATTCATCCTCACCCTTTATAGGATTTAAGTGGTCCCCATCATGATATCATAATAGATTGTCAACGAAAAATTTAAAATTAAGTTGTTAAATTATCAGGAAAAAGTGGTCTTCATCATCATAGGGAATACAGTGACAAGTTGACGACCTTTATATCTAAGTTGTTTAATAATCAGGATAAATTGGTCTTCATCATCATAGGGAATAAAATGACAACTTTTAGATCTATGTTGTTAAATAATCATAATACAGTGGTCCCCATCTGCATCAATCCCCTTAAATATTTTTCCCGAACCAATATATTTTAGCCTTTTCCTCGCAACTTTAGTTTAAGAAAAAATAGTTAAAACATTGAAAATAAATAAACCATGAATATTTTTTTGCATGAAATAAATCATGATATCACGTTGCATGAAATAAATCATGAATTTTTATATAAATAAAAGCTTTTTTTCCAATATTGATTTATTGAAGAAAACGAACTAACATTAACATAGACAAGTGTTTCAACATTGCTTTTGTAATGTCTAACATTGTGGAGAACTAAAAAAAACTTTAGGGAGAGGGGGGGGGAGGGTCGATAAATGACACCGGAAACTTCTTTAATCTTGAAAACAAATTAAATCCCAGAAAAGGTCGAGTGCAGGAAAACATCAGGCTCTTATCTCAAAAACACAGATTTCATAGAACATCTAATCTGAGAAGGGTTTGAGAAAAATATTTTAAATTAAGGTTATGGGATTGAAATGTGAATAAAATACCTCCATGAGACTGCTACAGCTGATATCATTGATGGTTCTTTCATGTTTATTTCTTCCTCGTAGAGATGAAACCTCGTCCTAACAATAACAATAACAGTAACAGTAACAGTAACAGTAACAGTAACAGTAACAGTAACAGTAACAGTAACAGTAACAGTAACAGTAACAGTAACAGTANATGACAATGACAATGACAATGACAATGACAATGACAATGACAATGACAATGACAATGACAATGACAATGACAATGACAATGACAATGACAATGACAATGACAATGACAATGACAATGACAATGACAATGACAATGACAATGACAATGACAATGACAATGACAATGACAGATAACAGATAACAGATAACAGATAACAGATAGCAGATAGCAGATAGGATAGCAGATAGCAGATAGCAGATAGCAGATAGCAGATAGCAGATAGCAGATAGCAGATAGCAGATAGCAGATAGCTGATAGCAGATAGCAGATAGCAGATAGCAGATAGCAGATAACAGATAACAGATAACAGATAACAGATAACAGATAACAGATAACAGATAACAGATAACAGATAACAGATAAGAGATAACAAAAACAAAAACAAAAACAATAATAATAACAATAACAATAAAAATATCAATATCAATATCAATATCAATATCAATAACAATATCAATAACAATAACAATAACAAAACAATAACAATAACAATAACAATAACAATAACAATAACAATAACAATAACAATAACAACAATATCAATATCAATATCAATATCAATATCAATATCAATATCAATATCAATATCAATATCAATATCAATATCAATATCAATAACAATAACAATAACAATAACAATAACAATAACAATAACAATAACTATATCAATATCAATATCAATATCAATATCAATATCAATATCAATATCAATATCAATATCAACATCAATAACAATAACAATAACAACAATAATAACAATAACAATAACAACAACCGTAACAACAACAACCACAACCACAACCACAACCACAACAACAACCACAACAACAGCAACAATAATGATAATAATAATGATAATAATAATAATAATAATAATAATGATAATAATAATAATAATAATAATACTGACAGGAGTACAGTGTGCTACAATTATTAGTAAGAACAAAGAAAGACACAACCAAACAAGCAATCAACTGGACCATGATTCTGTAAAATAAAATAAAACTTTTTGCGTAAATACACGTTTAAAGTGAAATGCACTTTCTAGAAAATACTAAAGCTACACACTTCTTATTCCTGGTGCATATTTATTGGAATTTTATGACAAAACAGCATTGATGACAAATTGAACTCTTTGACTCTTTACGACAAAATGAATAATGATATGGCATATAGACCTCTATATCATTACAAGCTCTATGACAGAAAGTTATGAAAATAATATTAACGATTAAGGACCTAGTTAACAAGACGAACTCTACATATATCATAACAAACTCCATGGCATAACGATTAATGACCTTTTTGTCATGACATCTATATAAAAACTACCTTTATGATATAACGACCTCTATGATATAACGACCTCAGTGACATAACAAACTTTGTGGCATAACGACCTTAATGGCATAAAGACCGTTATGACATAACGACATCTTTGGCATAACGAAATCATTGACATTACGACATCTTTGACATAACCACATCTTTGTCATAACTACCTCTGACATAACAACCTCTTTGACACAACCTCTCACATATATTCAGCCTGCTTATAATAAGTCTCAATCAGTTTTTAAGACAGGGTTGACTTTGAAGAGTCGCAACGCCTAGGGCTTTGATTTTACCGCTCTAACTCACTTATACTTTTCTGTAGCCCTTTACACGTAAATTGTAGCACTGTAAAGCACTTGTTGTTAACTTTGATTTTTAAGAAGTAATTTCAAAAATTCTTATAGAATTTTGCTTGAAGCTTGCAACATTTAAATCACAATGCTCTATGACACAACCTCTATGACATAACGACCTCTATGACATAACGACCTCTATGACATAATGACCTATATGACAAAATGACCTCTATGACAAAACAACCTCTATGATATAAAGACCTTTTTTTAAAAAACAACCTTTTTGACATAATGACCTTTATGAAAAAACGAACTTTACGACATAACGACCTTTATGACATAACGACCTTTATGACATAACGACCTTTATGACATAACGACCTTTATGACATAACGATCTTTATGACATAAAGACCTTTAAGACATAAAGATCTTTATGACATAACGACCTTTATTACATAACGACCTTCATGACAGAACGACCTTTATTACATAACGACATCTTTGACATAAATACCTCCATGACATAACAACCACTATGACATAACGACCTTTATGACATAACGACCTTTATGACATAACGACCTTTATGACATAACGACCTCTTTGACATAACAACCACTATGAAATAACGAACTCTATAACGTAAATCGTACAGACCTTTTATTGAAAAACATTTTACCCACCTGAAGGTTTTCACACTGTAGCTCCATCCTATTAAAATCCTTGAGAAGCTTCTGGTAAGCGATCCTCTCCTGCTCATATTCAGCATGGATCTGCTTCTTCTCATTCTCCAGTCTCTCCACCTCACCAGCTAAACAAATAATAGATCTGATGGGACCGTCGACAAAATTTCAAGTAATCCAACATTCAATGATTTCCATGCATGAACCACAACAGTACCTAGTATACCTTTATTCAGTGATACTTGTCATGTTCTATATTAAAACAAGATAAATTCTGTTAAAATCCTTTCTTTTCTGCTGCATAAATCCGCAAGACAATTTTAAGAAACCAAAATTGAAAATTATTACCCTTTAGAAAGACAAGGATATCATAATCATGTTTTTCGGACAAGGGTCTAAAGGGTATTGTTGTAAATTGGACAGGAAGGTCTGGGTTCTAGAAGGAAAGAGTGGCTGTAAGCTCTTTATAGTCTTTAATCTTATCTTATCTTATCTTATCTTATCTTATCTTATCTTATCTTATCTTATCTTATCTTATCTTATCTTATCTTATCTTATCTTATCTTATCTTATCTTATCTTATCTTATCTTGTAAAATGAATTCCGATGACGCAACTGGTCTACTATCCTAATGGTTTCAGCTCATTTTTTATGAGTGTCACAACGTGATAAATCCATTAAGAATTTTGACAGAATCGACTCCAGATAATAGAAATATGAATATTCAATTCTATTTTCTTATACAATATTCTCACTTCTTTTATCAATCCCTAAGATCCAAAAATATTTTATCAAACTTAACGATTCATGGAAATATAAATTCGATAGAAAAAGTTAAAACTTTTTTCTATTAAAGCTAAGAAACTATTTTCAAAAAGTACATCAAGCGTAATTTGAAGATGGTATTCTTTAAACAGAGGATCACCTGAAACTATGCTGACAGTACCTTATATGTAAATATTGCAGACTGCTCAGATATGGCACTCTGCCAAACCAAAATAAATGTTGAGGACGACTCTCTTGTGTTTTAAAGAAGAAAAAAACCAAAAGGAAAGGAGGGAGGGGGGGGTTGGCTTTTAATCCCAACATATGATATGTTAGTCTAAATCTTAATCTTACAGTGAATACCACGTTGAACTTGCATAGCTTCTGATAGAAGAACATATCGTATTCTTGACATTATAAACCTAATATATAACAATTAGTAGTAATCTGTTAGTTTAGTTGTCTGATAATAACTAATAAATCCCTCAAATGTTAATGAGGGAGCACGGTGGAACCATGGAAATGTTAAGTTGGCTGAATTTTATAGAGAAAACTTAGTTTCCGAGCAAGGATTCAATATTCACAGGTTTTTAATACTACACTAATCCAGAAATATTTGACACTTGTTCAAAATTCGGAGGACGCCACCTGGAGGTCACGCGTCCTCTATAGTTTAGTTTTTGCAATCTGATGGTTTAAATTGAAAACTGTTTTTATAACAGCAACTGTAAGAAGAAGACTTAAAAGGACTTTCAACTTTATTTCAAGTGGCGCAGCATTTAAAATGTCCGATGTACGATAACTAAGGAATCCTTAGGAAAAATATCGTCATAATCTGTCATCTGGAAAAGTGTTAAATTCTAACATTTTTTAATTTTATCCTCATAAATCAGAAAATAACTTTTACAAAGGACCCATGCAAAGGGAAATTATCGATTTTCTGATAAAAAATTAAGGATATGATTTTGCTAAGAAGCAGAATACTGTCGATTGTCCCTTTAACCTTTGTTTTTAAAGAAATGTAAAATATTTTATTATTATTTAAGTTTAATGTTTGTCTTCATACAACTTTTAAACCTTATTTACTGCAGTCTAATTGTGTTGACGACAAAACAAAGTTTTCAGACAGAAAATAAACATGAATATTGAATATATATACATCAAGGTGCCTTGTATCCATGCAGGGGAGTTCATTTTTACGAATTTCTGGCGAGGAAAAATGGGACATCAGAAGGCAAGTTTTTTAATCCTTTTTTATACTTTATTACCCAAAAGTTTACTTTTACCAAAATTTCTTAATATCTAATATGTTTGTTAATTTGCGAGACACGAGAAAGGTGCAGAACACTTCATGAAAAGACATACAGCCTCGTTTTTATACGTCTTATACATACATTAAATATTAGAAATCAAAGACAACTTTCAAGGCGTTAGTAATTCTTATATTAATAAGCTGTTCCAAAAAAGCAATTTATAATAACCCTCCATTAGAAGAGTTTCATGCCCAGTTCCCAGCTGTACCCTTTAAAATTTGCTCAATATTTCCTGGCTTTTCTATCTAAACATTGATAGTTCTCAATTGTGGTTTAACTATAGAAGTGACATGTGCATTTATGCATCAGAGACAAATAGAAATTAATAGAAATATGATTCAACAATGTTGGATAGAAAAACAACGATATCTTCCTCACTGTTACTCAGACAAAGGTGTAAAGCAAACTGTAAATCAGAAATGAAACTTCATAATTGTGAAACTTTCACAATCCATTGAATAAAAAAGAACCAAAAAATTATATTTTACGCAGAACATAAAAAGAAAGAAATGTTGGATTTAATGTAAAATAGGTACTTACGGCTAATCTTCCCAGAATTCTCAGCAGCTGTTTTCATCTCTGATATCTGGGCTTCAAGCGAACCTTTTTCCTAAAAATTTTATTTTTTAAATTTATTTTCCACTTGTAACTGAAAAAGCGTAATTTCAAATTACCATCCATGCAAAGATGATATGCCACAACGGTAACCTTGAACGCTTTGTCTTATCAAGGACATAAAATAGTTATTAATGTTTAGAATTTAAAAAAACTGATTTTTTCAATTGTGATTGATCAGAAATAAACATTTATAAACCTTAAAGAAACGCCAATCTCTTCCAAATTATTGATCAGATGTAGGTGTTTAAAGGGAATCTTTGTGAATCATGCATCTTGGCATGGATAAAAAATCATTGAATGCTAAGTTTTTACATGAAGAAAAAAAGAGCAAAATTTAGATATTTGATATTGCGCTACATCCGGATCCAGTTCTTTACAGGACGTATCTAGAATCCATGAATATAACCTGCACAAAAGAATAAGTTTAACCTGTTGGAAAAGTTTTTGAAGGTTTGCTATCTCCTCCTCTCCTCGAACCTTCTCCGTGACAAGATCAACCTTCTCCTCTCTCTCATGCTGCAGCTCAGACCGAGTCTAAAAACACATCTATATAATTATCAAAATCATTTTAAGTGGAACCCTACATCTGTGGAATTAGAAGACTAGTATAGGATTCAAATTATTATTTTAAATAGTCCAACGAATAGTTCATCACCGCGACTGTGAAGTGTACACAGACCCATTTCACTAAAAAAGTTGATTTTCAAGCTATTGGTAAAACTTCTTATGTTTTTAAAAACACCAAATACATAAAAGACGTCTTCCTATTCCACAGTTTTATCTGTCCCACTGAAAATTATATTGTTAACCCGGAATAATTTGTTTCAAAGAGAAAAGATAAAGAATACTCAACACATTTATCTGAATTAGAAGTATTCTGACCAGGGGGGGGGGGCAGGTAGTTCACTACCTGTACTGCTATTCAACTTGTGTACATTAAAGACAGTTTACTGATAAAGGATGTAAAGAGATTATAATCATTCAGTACACTACTACACACATCAAATATGCAGTACACTTTCACAGTAAGTAAGTAGAGTGCGTGGCCTGTACACTGTACAGTGTATCATTAGCGTACAGGGTGTCCCACGAAACATGACAGTTGGTGAATAGTTTAGAATGTATTTTTCCATAATTTGTTGAGTTGTTTGGTACCAAAGATCAATAAAAAGTTTATATGGGAGTCATGTAATATTAAAATTGATTTCAAAGTAAAAGATAATGAAGCAAAAGGATGTTTTAACTAAAAATAACGATTTTTTAAATGTCATATTTCGTGGGACACCCTGTATATTACAATATATTCTATAACCTCGTTGATTCTGACCTGTCTAAGTTCCTCTTCAAGTTGTTTAATCCTCTCAGCCCGAGATTTAGATTCATCTTCAGTTTTCTTCAGTTTATCCAATTCTGCTGATAATCCAACCCCAGCCTCAACCTAACAAAACAAGGGAATAGAAATTACTAGGCTTTAGGGCGCTTCACGCCTCCTTTCCTGTAAATAATCTTAGCGTTTACCCCTTTTTCTATCATTTCAAAATCTTCGCGGATTTTTTCTTTTTGAATTGGCGCCTAAAAAATCCAACTGTTTTCCAAGAATTTCTTTCAAATTTTAATGTTCCATAAACCTTCCCTGGGGTCATGTTCCAAGCAAAATTTGGGCCCGGTCGGTTCAGCCGTTTTGATGTTTATTGGATACAAACGGACAGACAAACACACAAACAAGCAAAGTAAAGCATATAGAAAGAAGAATTACCCCACTGCACCCCCTGGGGAATTTATTTTGATACTCTGGGGAAAAAATGTAAATTCGACATCAAAAGACAAGTTTTTGTCATCCTTGTTGATACTTTTAACCAGGAAAAAACATTTATTCCCCCCAATTTAGTGAATCAAATCTTTAAAAAAATATTCATTTTGACTTTCAACATTTCAAAACTGTAATATGTTTGCTCTTATTAAACTTTGCAATATCTTTATCATAAAAATGAAATATCTATACAAAAAAACTATTGTTACATCACATTCGTTTTTGAGTAGTTCTTGGATTTTATCTTCTGTCAGGGTCAGAATTTGACAAAGTGGTTAAGGAATGCAAATTAATTAAACAATTTTGAAAACATTTGTTCTTCTTGCACTGTTCCGAAATGGGGGAGGGAGGGGGATTTCCTGACATTCGTCATTTAATTTAACATTGAAAATCGATTTCTATTCAGTTCTTGGCTTTTATAAAGGTTGTTAATTGGAAAAGCTGGATGAAAAGATGGATAAATTAATCAGCCAATTCTGCAAATTAAATTAAATATTTTAAGTAATAACCTTTAGTTTGAGGGCCTTGTTGTCCTCCTTGGCCTCTGTTAACCTCTGCTGAAGGCTAATAATCTTATTCTCTAAACCTATACAACAGATTTGGTTTAAATTAGCAGGCCAAAGATCTAAACTTTTTTATAGATGTCGCTAATCTACTGAATAAATAAAAAAATAAATAAAATTGTCAACCATCATCCCGTGGGAGTCAGGGATAAGCTCTAATCTATCTAACCGCACCACCATTATAAATAATCACATTTTTTTCGGTTTATATTTATTAAGAATTTAAAACTTTATTTATTTTTACCTTTATTGAGTTCTTTTTGTTTAGCAACACTTCTGGCCTCTATCTTCAACTTTTTAAACTGTTTCTTTGCCAGGGTCCGTCTAACCGCACTCTGCACTACAACAATCCTCTTCAGCGCTCTTCGGTACTTCAACCTAAACATAAGTTAACTTTAAGTTCGGTTGGAAGTTGAGTAGTTTCTCAAAGACATCTCTATTAAACGATGAGCTTCCCAATTTACCAGAAATAGAATTTGTAATTCGTATTCAATAATATAGAATTCGCACTTCAATCATATTTTACTAGAATGTTGCTTTAAGATTACAAGAACTTTGCATTCAAAGTTTTAACTACCCCCCCCCCTCCCCCCTCCATGCAGACTATGAGAAGACAAGAGAAAAGAACTGAATTATCACACTTTTTTCTCAAAATAAAGTTTCAAGCTTGATTAAGAAAAGTAAAGTTTTATATCGTTAGAACCGTATAACTTGTTAAACTTTTCCCATTTCTAATAAACACCTACTTACTACATACAAGGTGTCCTAATAAACATAGAAATGGGTGGCAATTTCGAGATAGTTTTGGTAAATAATTTTTTTATTTCGTATAGTGATGCCTGCAAGAGAAACTACGATCCGTAAAATGTTCAGTCTGCTGGTGTTCAGGATTCTTTTGATTGCATTAATGCAATTTAATGCCTACTGTACTTGAGTAAATTGGAAAAATTCCTGTTTACAATATACAGTTTTCCCTCGTCACTCAATTCTAATGTTTACTGAAACACTCTGTACTTAAATACAGCCTCTTCTGGAAGGGGGGAAGAAGAAGGGAAAGATATTTAGGAGATCTGAGCTTAAAACTTTAGAATGAGATATCCCTTATTTCGTTTAATTAATTTGAGTATTTAATGGACACACGATTGATTTTCTTCTTAAACCATTCTTTCTTGGATATAGTTGAGAAAAATCAAAAAACAGGTTTTAAAATTAGAGAGTTCCTCCCGTTTCTGTGTATTAATCCTAAATAGCGCGCAAAATTTCAAATTTATCGGCTTCATATACGTGACTCTGATTGGTTGAATTTTATACACTTTTTAAGATACAAGTAACAAGATTAGGTTAGTCTCGACATTAAGAAAAAGAGAGGATCACCCATTGATCTCGATATCCACCATTCTACAGTTTTCAGCTCTGGGAAAAAAGAAAAATTGGACATTAAAAGGCCAGGTTTTACATTATATTTTTCATACTTGTTCACAAAAAATTGTTTATTTTCCCCATTTCGGCAAATAAATCACCACAAAATGGTTTTAAATGCTTAACTTCTTGGGAAAAAAATATATTTTCATAAGATAAAATGATTTTTCAGGAAAATATATGAAAGTATATATGCCAGAGAGATTTTAAAAGCTTCTCTACTGAAAGACCAATGTTAAAACTCAATATACCTAGCAATCCAGCCCTTGGCATTCTTCTGTATAATAACTGCTGCTTTTTCCTGTCTCAGTTGTTTATATTCCTGCCGAGCCCTGATAATTAATCAACTAGATTATTTTTATCCTATTTTTGCATTAGAATTCAGCAAATACTTTCCAACATTCATACTAAACTAATTGAGCTGAAATCAATTAATTAGATTATATCCAAATAAGATGAGTGACATGTCTGTCTGATTCACATCTGATCAAGGATGACCAAGATAAATGGGTTAACTTAAGAGATAATTAGGGCTTGCTTTGCAGATCAGAGACGAAAAAGGAAATTGTCGGAAATCAACATTTTTTAAGATAAAAAAAAATTTCATCCTCACTGTTTATGAAACAGATGTTCAAAGGTCCGAATGAGTTCTTAAAAGTTAAAACAAGACTTCAGTTAGTTCTTGGTTTCCATTTATAAAATATTCAAGTAATTTTCTTATTTAATAAACCTTCATTTTTGTCTTGAAAGTTAAAATTGAATTTTGAAGTATTCAATTTTTACCAAAATATATGATTTGTTTATCCCATGGAACGATTTGAGGCGGCAAAGGAAGTGTAAGCAAGGCATCGTTGGTTTATAAACCCCTCACACAAATATCTCGTTATTATAGACTGTAAACGGAATTAATTTGAGTAAAACAACGATTAAAGGGTATCTTTTTGAATTATTGATGCCACAATTCAAACGAATGGGGCACTTGATATTTCGTCTACTGTCCCTTTAAGTTGAAGACTCAAGCTTAAATTTAGTTGTATTTTCCTGTATGCTCTGATGTGTGCTTGTAGTTGTATTACCAAGTTACGAAGACGTCTATATTTCGAGATCTGAAAGTATTATCTATTTGGAATATATCAGAAAAAAAGAAACAAAAAATGATTTAAAAATGAACTAAATTTCATTTTTATTTCTAAAAGTTTTTAATCTATATTAGACAAAATAAGCCCAATCTGGTTAGGGTTAGTACCTGGATATATGTTTAGTACTGGATATAGTTAGTACTATACCTGGATAAATCCACGAACAAGAGCTTGTATCCTGGTTGCAGCTCTGGTTCTCCTGATCCCTCTCGTCTTCCTCCTCGCTAGAAATCCTCTAACCCATCTCTGCAGGGTCCCGGCAGCAGCCTGGGTTGCCCTGTACTTCTTCCTAAACAAGGTGAGAAAAGTCACGTACACCTTTTAAAAATATATTCAAGATTTATATTTGTCTGAAGAAAAATTACATTTAACAATACAAGAGGTTACAATTTACTCCTAATACTTTTTAGTCTGGATATCGCATTTTATGATTGACAGGGTTTGGCAAAGTTGACTTTTTGCATTAGGATAGTTTAATTAAGATAGTTTAATTAGGATAGTTTAATTAGGATAGTTTAATTAGGATAGTTTAATTAAGATAGTTTAATTAGGATAGTTTAATTATTTAGACGTAGTTTTCAGAAATGGAGTCTCTTGGTCCCAGTCTAATGTTTTTTTGTTTTCTAAAAATAAGCAATTATGACAGCATTGCAAGGATTGGTAAAGATAAAAAAGATAAAATCTGAAAGTCCCCCAATGTGGAAGACCCAATTTCTTTAATAAATATTACTCCCAATTTGCAACTGAATAATTTTTTTTCTGGTCTGCAAAAAGGTTTTGACTTTCTTTTGATAGGAATTGTATGGCTTCCCTTTAAACTTAAGTCTGTGCAAAGATTAAGATATTTTCGTATAAATATTTCTAAAAATTAATAATTTTTTAATTGTAATCTCTGTTGGACACTTTAAGCTTTCTATTAAACGTCACTGGAAATCACAACAAAGGTTCCCTGACTACAGATTTTAGCAACAGAATAAATCATGTCAAATATTTGACGACACCAGTTTTTTTATATTCTTTCTATATGACTGACAAGTTGTTAGACTAGGCGCAGTGCAGGGTGACCCAGAAAAACTCTGGAATTGAGTAACTAAAGGATGTTTACAATCATATTAATGGTACTGCCTACTAGGAAAACTGTTTCACTGGAGTTTAATACTTATGTATTGTATTGAGGTAAATTGATAAAATTCCTGTACACAAAAAAGTAAAATTGTCTTTCTATACTGATATGTTCATTTTTTAGAAATATAATTGACTCGTCGTACTTTACAAAATAATAAAACAGTCTTTTACCGTTTATATTAAAATTAGCATTGCAGGCGTTATTTTACTTAATAAATTTTTATTAACTGAGCTAATTCTGTGACACCCTGTACATTCCAGATTCCTTTTAAACTGAATTCATCAGATTAGGTTTTAGAACTAGCTTAATGAAAGTGCCTAATTAGAAATTTATATCCGTCGGATCATCTAATGAAGTTATACTGTATGTAATATGCATGAATCATTTAAATTTTTTGAAAAAAAATACATTTACTGCAAAAAAATAGAAAAAAATGTTTATAAGTATTTACTCATGCAAACTGAATTTTGATCCATAAACAAAAAACCGGATCATAGCTTGTTTAATGTTTACTCATAAACCGGATTATTGATTGCTTAATGTTTACTCATAAAACCGGATTATTGATTGTTTAATGTTTACGCATAAAACCAAATTATTGATTGTTTATTAATTACTCATAAAACCGGATTATTGATTGTTTATTGTTTACTCATAAAACCGGATTATTGATTGTTTAATGTTTGCACATAAAACCGAACTTGAAGGATCCCCTATAACGCCAGGATTTTGATTATTTTCTTATTGAACTACATGGTGTCTTAAAAAAAGTGTGTATAGCTTTTAGCCTTGTAAACATCGTTTTTGTACTTTACAGAGTTTCTGAAGTTGCCGAGATCGTTATATTTTTTTTTTAATCTTTACAAAACCTATGTGCGTCCCCGCCAAGATTTTTTTACAGCAAGTTGGTCACCCTGGACAGAGGCTGATTCAAATTGTATAGAACTTGTTCACAAAAAGAGCTAATCGAATGATATCAGGACTTACTGTGAAAACATATGTCGAAAAACTGAATGAGCTGAAGTTGCTTTCACTTGAAGAAAACCGTGAACGGGCCGACATGATTCAGACATTTAAAATAATTCATGGATTCTGTGATGTCAACCCTGCAACATGGTTTAGAAAGATCAACCACAACAGAGTGACAAGAATGGCTATTGACCCCGTTAAACTTGGAAATACTAAACTCCAGAACCAGTATTGCAGGAACAATTTCTTCAGCTAGAGAGTTCCGAGAAAATGGAACTCTATCCCACAGGAAGTAAAACAGTCAACTATAGTAAATATCTTCAAAAGAAGCTATGACAAATTCAGACAGTATCTGAGAGATGCTGATGCAAGATTAAAAGTCACAAAGTCTATCTGAAACATCATCAGCACCTCCAAGTCTTAGACATTTAAAATAATTCATGGATTCTGTGATGTCAACCCTGCAACATGGTTTAGAAAGATCAACCACAACAGAGTGACAAGAATGGCTATTGACCCCGTTAAACTTGAAAATACTAAACTCCAGGACCAGTATTGCAGGAACAATTTCTTCAGCTAGAGAGTTCCAAGAAAATGGAACTCTATCCCACAGGAAGTAAAACAGTCAACTATAGTAAATATCTTCAAAACAAGCTATGACAAATTCAGACAGTATCTGAGAGATGCTGATGCAAGATTAAAAGTCACAAAGTCTATCTGAAACATCATCAGCACCTCCAAGTCTTCAAAGTCATCCTCATCTTAACTCTACATTGGTTCCTAAGGATTATTCAACAATAAACAAAAAATTAGTAGGTACAATGCCAATAAAAGGGTCGTACATAAAAGATTTTTATGGGCATTGTACCTTCTGGAAACACACCAATTATAAAGTGTACATTGTTCACATGCCCATATTCCATATTAAATGATTTTTTATCTGTTTGTTAAAAACCAGTTTCAAATAATCATTAGATTGCTTAAAAGTGAAATGTTATTATCCTATTCCACATGGGTCTTATTCCATTTACCTGAAAATAATAATAATTTACCTGTCCAGCTCTGAAGAAGAGTTTGTTTTTCCCAAATTGATATTTATCTTCATCCTATAATACACACTTTATTATTCACCCTGCAAGAGCAATGCAAACCCCAGAAATCAGCAGGTTGAAGGTAGACGTGATATTAATATTATTACTTAATCTTTTAAATTGTAGTTATGCATTCATTCAAATTAAAAATTATTAAGTAAAATTCAGACAAAGTAAAAATGTAAACCATGTGCAAGTAAACTTTTGTTTATAATTCATCATCGTTCGTTGTCTTTACTTTAGACATATCTACCAGTTATTTAATATGCTTGTTAGTCACTTAAACTAACGTCATAGGAACTATTATTATTTTAACTTTTATTCATATTGCCATTTTTTTTGTGAAGTTTTGATATCTAGTTCTGTTTGTTTTTATTTAACATAATTTCATGCAAAAAAAAAGTTGTCCAAATGAACTTCTCTCTAGTCGGACATTATAGCATCTCAATAAACACGTTCTAGAAGCATTGATTAAATGTCGCCTTGCTTAAACCAGTGCCGATTAGGGTTTGCAAAACTCTTGCATAGTGTATTCTGAAACTATGGAAACAGACCTAAATGGTATCCGAATTCATTTTTAAAGACTAACCTATCCTTATATATTTTTAGATCTTTTAATTTTAGGTCAGAAAACCATAATTCTTAGATGAATTAAAAAATCATCTTGAGATACATTTTCTTATAATCATTTCTTAATATCATTTCTTAAAGTTTATAGATTATTTATTTCCTTCTTTCTTTCGTGGTAGGTAGGTAACATGTTATCCTTGTGTTAGTCTAAATTGTCTTTTTTTTAAAAAGATTTAATTATTTACAATTATTCTACAGGGAAATTAAGTGAATTTTACGTTACCAAGGGTTCCCAAGACCAACTTTGCCCAAGTTAAGCATGATTTTTTAATTTGTGGTTAAGCATAACTTTTAATCTCCAGAAAAAGAAGTTGTATTAAATTTTATCATGTTTTGAGATTCAAATGCACTATTTTTATACGAAAACTTTGCAGAGCTGCGAGTAGTTATTTTATTTATTTGTCCCAAGGGACTTAACGTCTCTTTGTTTAGAGAATCATAGGTCGGTAATGTTGGTGAAAATATATTTATAAAAAATCTTTTTTAAAGATTTTACCTGAATTAACTTGTTAACAATGTTCTCGCAGGTTCCTCTGTAATCTCCTTTAAACACATCCTGAAGGCCGATTTCACAATTCATGAGATAAAACTTAGAAAAATATTAAAAAGGTCTTTCAATTATTTTTAAAAACTAGTTTATAAGCCTTGACAAAAAGGAATTCTACATAATTTTGGAAAGTTCACAAGCAAGAAAATTGTCACTTAAAAGAATTTTTAAATTTTAAAAATTCAAATTCAAATGATTTTCTAGTGCTTTTTTAAAATGAGAAGTTTAAAATTTGTTGTGTAATTTCCTTTGAGTGGCAGAGAACACGATATCTCAGGAAGAAATCGTAGTAGGTCCATCTAAACAAAATATTTTTCAGTAGCGTAAACAATATAAGCAATAATAAATTCAAATACATTAAAAACATGTAAATATATACTCCTCAACCTCCGCATGTTGTGTGCACATTAAACAAATTTAAAAATATATATACAATTTGTTATTCTGGTCATTTTCTCTATTTCAATTGTGAACATTTTCTCTTTGTAAACATTGTGAAACAAAACGCAAAAAAAGCTTGCGGATTTCGTAAAATCAAATGTCGTGAATGTTGTGAGCACACAAAAAGTATTTCTCTCCTAAAAATTTTAATAGTATTTAAAAATAACTTAAAATTGTCGTAGAACGCTGATTTCTTGCACGTGAACTTAAAATTGTGTATTGTGACCACAAAATTCAGTTATAAAAAAATCCGAGCAAAAGTGCGCGCGCACGCGTGCTTTTTGGTGAAAAATGTATCTTTTTTTTAGCATTTTTGCAATCTTGAATTTGCTTCAAGGTGCTTTCAAGCATGTAATTCCTAAACAGTTTTGCACAAAAAAACCTCCAATCCCGCGCGCGTGCGCATCTTATAAACGATTTGAGATTCTAAATTTTTTTAACTTTGGCATTATTCAAAACAACAGTAGCATGCGATATATCAAACTGCAGGTAATCATTTCCGTGATCAAAACAGACATTGGAGTGTTCTGATCAACGCGCTAGTATCCAGATGCTGCATCTGCCACATATTTTACATGTCGTATGTCGATATGTCGATGTAATTGGACACGGGGATTCTATTTCTTCGGTCAGCAGTAGTAGCCAGCTATTACGTTTAAACAGAATTTTGCAGTTAAAATTCACAATTTTGAGTTAAAATGCAAAGAAAATCAGCGTTTTACGACAATTCTAAGTTATGCTTAACACTATTTAAATTTCTGTTTTGTGCCCGCCCCCCGCAACGGACCCCACCCCACACCCTTTTAATGAAAATAGAAAATTGTTGGAGGCAACTTTTGAAATTTGATCATCAAAATACCCCTTCCCTGGGGACACGTGAAGTCCCACAAAATTGTGTGCCCGATCGGTTTAGCCGTTTTTATATTGGTTACAAACAAATAAGCAGACATACAGGCAAGCAAAGAATATGTATAGATTATAGAAGCTTGTTGCGTGTTCCATGATATATAAATTAATATGCACTGCATGGACTGGACAGAAGGAGAATGTAAAATTTATGTGACGTTACCGGGGCTTGTGACCTCGTAGATCCATAGTTTTCATTTTCTACACAATTATGAGAAAAGAATTTTTATTTTGTTAAATAATAGAAATTCGAAATACTTTTGTTATTCTCAATGGAATTTCAATAAGAGAAGTTACGATTGAAAACATATAATATTGCAATCTTTCGAGCTATTTAATTTTATTTGACGTTTCACGTGTATTTGCAAATGATTATGTACTTCTTAAACATGATACCCTGAAACCGATATTTAAGCGGTTATTGTACAATTGTATATATTTACCCACTAAATAAATTTTATGAATCCCAAATACCTGGAAGGATACCCTGCAGCCGATATTCGAACGGTTAATGTACAATTGTATATATTTACCCACTAAATAAGTTTTATGAATCCCAAATACCTGGAAGGATACCCTGCAGCCGATATTCGAACAGTCTCCAGAACTCCGCAGGCTCGCAGCTGTTGAACTGCACGCTTAGGTTCAAAAATGAACGCGGCTTTAGCATCATTAGGTTTTATGCATCTAAAAAAATGAGAAAAAATGTGAAAAATAATGTGCTTATCTATGTGTAGCATCATTTTCACGAATCTGCACAAATTAATTCATTATAGAAAACAAATATTTCACTTTAATAGTCGACCCAATCAAGTTTTCCAATCAAAATTTGAGGCAAATTGGCCCAACGGTTCATGAATTATGCTCGGACATTCAAAAACAAAACGAAAATACTAATTTATGTTTAGTCTGGCGCAGGAACCCAACTTTGCCTGGAAACTAAGTTTTTTCTACAGAAGTGAAACTTCAACTAAAAGTTTTAAACCAAGCTAGAACATTCCTGTGGTTCTACCAAGTTTTCCATCCAAAATTTGAGGCAAATTGGTCCTCGAGTTTATTAGTTATGTTCAAACATTCATGGTAAACATTAGGGGAAATGACAGGCTAGACATTCATACCTGGCTAGACATGGTAGTTTTTAAAAAATTCAAAAAAATTCACAAGTTTAAATGAAATATAGTTTTCAGAAACAAAATACATTTTAGATTTTTTTTTTAGTTTATTGGAACTAATTTTTTGTTTATTTGAACTAATAGCCGCAGCGCCCTAGCCCATCCTAGTCGCAAAGAAATTATCTGAACCTAACCTAACCCTGGAATAATACAAACATTTGAACTATATTTTTTGGTTAATTTGAACTATTTTTTTGTTTGTTTAAACTACTAGCCTCAGCGCTCTGCCCCCTAACATGTCCTAGCCACGGCGCTCGGCCCATTAATTAACATAACCTAACCTTAATTAATACAAACGTTTGAACTATTTTTCGGGTTTTTAAAAAACAATTTTTATGTTCCTTTTAAATAGTTTTGTTTTACAACTATTTCGTAAAAAAAATTTGCTTAATTTGAACTATTTTTTCGTTTATTTGAATTATTTTTCATTTAACCTATATTTCATTTGAACTATTTTTTTGGTTCATTAGAACTATTTTTTGGTTTATTTCAACTATTTATATGTTGGTTTGAAATATTTCTTTGTAATTTTTTGTCCAAACTTCATGAATTAACAAAATTTAAAAAACTGAATTTATAGAAAAATAGTTCAAATGAGCAAGCAATGTGTTGATTTGAACTACAGGATATGACTTCATGTCAGTAGTTCAAATGAAGTTCAAACGAACAATTGTTCAAACAGTGAAGTTAAAACAGGTATCCACAGGCATGCAGCGCCAGAAAATGCTGGGCGCAGCACACCAACCCAGCTGGTTGTGGCGTAGCACGCCTAGCTGACAGGCTGTGTTGTGGCTCCCACGCCTGCCTAGCGGGTTTGGACAATCCAGAAAGATTTTTATGATTGAATTTTTACTCTTGGTCAACAACTATACTCCGTACAAACGTCTTAAAGAACAAATAATTAAAAAAAATTCTGTGCAATACTGCATTCTCAGCTCAACTACCATGTCTAGCCAGACACTCCCTTTAATTAAATTATATTAAGTCTTTCTTAACATTTCCTACATTATTCGTTTCTTTCTAAACTAGATAAAAGCTTTATCCCTGCTTTCATAAAAAAGACCTAGATCTGAAAACTATATTTTTTAAATGACAAAAATAATAACTTTCAAAACCAATTTTTAAAAAAACATAGAGATATTTAATATTTGCTGCATGAGGGTATTTTTTGAGAAGTAAATGGAAATGTTCGAAAGTGATAAGCTATTTAAAAAACGTGTATTTACCGAACATAGTGAGGGTTTGTTGAATTCAGGTTGGTCATCAGTAAATTCAAAGATTCTCTGATAAAACGTAATATAAATTATGTAAATCTACCAAGTTGTCCCCTACCCCCCCCCCCCCCCCTCTGATTACAGTTATGGCTGCAAGGGACAGGATTTTATGAGTTCTGGAGTTCAAATCATGAATCACCAATTTAAAATTAAAGATTCATGCGGATTTAGGTAATGAAAAGGAGACTGAATCGGTGATTCATTATTTGAACCGGTGAACATATCGCTAAACCGTTTAGAATTAATTCAACAAACTCGCTTCAGCTTAAACTGGCCAAAAACGAGAATTGGTTCAACTACGTCTGCGCTATTAAGCTACTTCTCACAATTTATTAATTCTGGTTCCTGGATCCAACTCCACATATCTCTTAATAATAAACAAGAAAAACGGATTACTCTCAAAAAACAAATGTCAAGTGTTGAGTAATGAGAAATTGATAAACCTCTCAACCTTTCAATATAGTTAGTTATTTTTCAAGCAAACAAACAAAAAAGCACGAGAAAATGTTTGACTTTTTTAAGGTAAATTAGAGACATTTTTGAGCTGGATCCGGGTCCACTTCTTTTAACAGGACGGAAGGGATTATCAGCAGGACGGAAGGGATTATCAGACAGACGGAAGGGATTGTCAGATGGACGGAAGGGATTGTCAGATGGACGGAAGGGATTATCAGAAGGACGGAAAGAATTATCAGCAGGACGGAAGGGATTATCAGAAGGACGGAAGGGATTGCCAAAAATATAGATTTTTATTGAGAATTTTTTTATGTTTTTGTTTTCCATCAAATTCATATCTAGGTTTCCTGAATTGCGACCCAACAGTTTTCTTGTGAGATTTAGCAGCCCCCTGACCACCCGGCTTAACAGGGGTATTCTTCTTCACTGGCAAGTTATCCATCCCTGGAATTATGATTATTAAGGGACTGTGTTTGATTATTTTATATCCAACTTGCGAGAAATTGTCTTCAGTCTTTTCAGTTGGGATTTGAAAGTGTTAAAATTCTTTCTTTGTAAGATTGGGCTTAAAAAATAATGATAGTTTTTTAAACATTAGCGAGATCGTATTAAATCTTTCATAAACCCTATGCAACTTTATGGCAATAATAATATTAATATCAAAATAAGAATCATAAATTTCTTACTTTCATCATATGTATAATATATCTCCAATTGAATACTTTTAAATAGTCTAGAAATCTTCATCTATACATATATTTTGCTCGTCTGTTTGTTTGTTTGTAACCAATCTAATTCAAAACGGCTAAACCAATCGAGTCTAAAATTTTGGAAACCACTCACATGACTACTGGGAAGGATTAAAGAAAATTCAAATTCAAATTTTTAAAAATTTATCTTAAAAATTTTGATCTAAAAAAATTGAGAAAAAACCCGGAAAAAAGAGCTTCAGCTAAATATCATCGAAAATAGGCGCGAAGCGCTCTGGATGCCTAGTATAGTCTCTACAGTGAGAAAACATAAAGGTTAGTACTAAAAAAATATTTCCAGCAAATAATGTTTGGTAATCCGAATCAAATGCAATTTAACCAACCACCAGAAAAGTTTAAACGAAATTTAGCAAATTTCTTTAAAAAACATAATTAGTATTATAAAGGAACTGTAAGCGTAATTTAAAATGACCCTCCTTGCAGAGATAGCAATAGAGGACCACTTGAAATTATACTTACAGTCCCTTTAATATTTCTTAAAACCGGTATTTAGTGTTAGATTAAATGCTAAATTCTAAAAACTAAAATTACCACAAGTACGTCTTATAAATATAATACTATTTGATTTCCATTTTATTAATTAGTTTTAAAGTGGAAATACATGTTAGAAAGGAACTGACTGCTCATCTCAAGCTTAAATTAACTAATTCTTTTGGTTCTATCTACACGCAACCTGATATTTCATATTTCAATCAATGAATTCTACTTGATCAAGATATCAGCTTTGGAAAATTTTAGTTTGAGTCAAGTGGTAAGTTCTTTTTAAAAAAATATATTTTTTCCGAATAAAAAAGAATTTAAAAAAATGTTTGATCACCTGTATACTTTCCTAGAGAGAAGATGGAGAAAAAAAACAGGATTAATTCTTGGGTCTAACTAGAGTAGTCCATCACCAATCACCATGTACAGTGTACAAGATAAGTTTATATACAGTTAATACATTGTACACTTATATAGTAGAGGCTCTATGTACAGTGTAAACTGTACATTAATCAGCTTTTACTTTTTACAGTTAGTTACTAAAGGTACCAAAGAAAGGAAGTGTATGATATCAAGTAAATGTTTATTAATTCACTAGCAAATCTTTCCCTGGATTTTTTAAAGGGATTGTGTAAAAAAAAGTAAATTTTGATTAAAATTTTGAAAACTTGTTTTTTAAAATTGCATTAAATTAAATTAAATTAAAGAGTACCATTAAAATAATTAAATAAGAAAATTAATATGAACCTATTAAACACAATCCTTTTAAAACAAAATACTAAAACCCCGTGTTTTTAGCCCTGGGTATTCTGATTTTTATTTTTATTGATTTTAAAAAATGAAAATAATTGTTTCACTTTTCAATTCGTTCAAAATCAAAAACTAGGAGTTAAACCCCCTCACTAAATACAGAGACAAAATAAAGTGGAATGGAAGGATGGTCTGAATTGCCTGATTGTTATTCTAAGAAAATATCTAGGATGACAATGCCGTTGGTTTGCTCCACAGGATTTTGAAAACCACTTTCTAAGTTCAACTCAAAAGAAAAAACAGGGATTTTCTTTTATACGAATATTAAATTTTAAAAGATTCTAACACTGAATTTTAAATGAAATCCTATTTTCTTTCGAAATTTGCAATTAATAAATTTTATGAAATCAGAAAATATTATCAATTCAAAATCAGCCACCACCAGTTTATATTGCAAACAACGACTTAAGATGATATTGATTAGTTAGAGGCTTTGTATCCTATTGTTTACAATAAGTTTTTATCTAGTTCCTGAACGGTATAAATCGTCAAAAACTAGCGTACATAAATCAAGTATGCTTTCCTACAGGGGTGTATATAATTTCTTAAGAGTTTATTGGCTGAATTTGCTAAAATTAATGATTTTCAGGGGAAATAAATGAATTTTTGAGAATAAGCAAACTTGCCTATTGATTTCCAATTTACATTTTTTCCCCTAGATTACCAAAAAAATTATGTAATTATCAAAAATATACATCCCTGGTTTCCTAACCCTGCAACCTTATTAATATTGCTTTTACTTGTTATCTATGCAAATTTTAACGTATTATCAAAAACTAATTTTTTTTAATCTTATGTCTCAATCTATGACCTCTTCATAATTGAAATATTTGATCTGTTCATGGCAATGTTTTACTTTTCCTCATATATATATATGCAGAAATTCTATTTTAGTGGGAATGTGCGTATATCAAAATTCAAGTCTTTTAAATTTGAATTAAAACTATACGGTGCCAAAAAGCTATTTTGTCTCTAGTAAGAACTAAAAATTAGGCAATTTATGTACAGTGATAACCATAAAACTTTGGAATAGGAAGACGTCATTAATGCAAACTTGTATGTAATAGACATTGTTGTAAAGCACAATGTTTTACAAAAATCAAAATCCCATTTGCTTCGTTTCATGTTCATTGAATCAATTAAAATCGTAAATTAATTCTGCCCGTAGCTAGTCTTCTTACTCGACAGTTTGAAAGATCTCAGCGTCATGTATTTTATGTTACTTTACAAATTGATGATTGTCTATGTCTCATATTTATTATTTATACTGTATATTCCTACCTTCGGAGATAAAAAGGTCAGAGAGAAGATCATTTCTAGAGGCCTGAAGAATAAAAATTAATTTCAATAAATTAAGTGAAAAACAAAACAAAAAATAGATTTGTAGTAAAGTACTGAGCCTTGTCCAAAAATTAAAACTAGTTCCAAAAATCAGTGTTTCGGATCCGGATCCGGTCGGATCCGTATCATTTGGTCGGATCCGGATCCGGATCCGTATCAGGAAACGTTGAACTTCTGAGGCCCCGCGCGCTGCAATTAAGATAGGTTAAGGGGTCGAGCGCAGCGACTAGATAAGGATAGGAACCAAGCTCTTCGGCTAGGAAAAACTTTGGTTGCCGCTAGGGAAATTGCACATTGGGAAGTAGCCACTTGGGAAATTTCACAAGTGGGAAGTGGCCAATTGGAAAAAAACCTTGGGAAGTTGCCGTTTAGGACGACAAAAATTCCCTAACTTTGGTAAAACTACCTTTAGTATAGCAATCTGTTCCTCCATGACTGTATCTCGATTTTTATGCAAGAATCCATCACACTCGTATTCAACCTAAAAATTCAATAAACAAAAATAATCTTAAAAATATTATGCACATTGCACACTGCACAGTAAACAATACATTATTAGATGTTTGTGAGTTTTCTGCATCAAGTCTATATGACTTGCTGTCGGCCCCTCCAAAGGCCAGCATAGATTCGATGCAAAAAAAACCGTTATATAAACATCAAATAATGTATTGTTTACTGTGCAATGTGCATAATATTTTTAAGATTTTTGTTTATTGAATTTTTGAGGGGCCGACAGAAAGTCTCAAAATCCTTAAAATTGGGGCTGCCAAGGACTGTTCCGGGCTTCTGGGACAGTCTCAAAGTTCTGTGACCGTCCCAGGCTTTTGGGTCTCTGAGATGGAGAAATAACCCCCATGGTTTTGGGACAGTCCCAACGTTCCGGGACTGTCCCGGGCTTCTGGAACAGTCCCAAAGTCAACGGACTGTCACATTACGATTCTCTAAGATTGAGAAATAGTCCCCATGGTGTGGGGACTCAGGGCCAGTCCCAACGTCCCAGGACTTTCCTAGACTTCTGGGACAGTCCCACAGTCCTGGGACTGTCCCAAGCTTTTGGGTGTCTGAGATTGTAACCCCCCTGGTGTTGGGACTCAGGGTCATTGGGACAGTCTCAACGTTCCAGGACTGTCCGGGCTTCTGGGACAGTTCCAAAGTTCTGGGACAGTCCCAAAGTTCTGGGACAGTCCCAAAGTTCTGAGACTGTCAAAGGCTTTTGGATCGAGGAATATTTAAATAAGTAATTAATAATGTTTAGTCTGCGATCACTTGTTTAGACTGAAATAACACTATTAAAATATCTTGTATATCTACATAACTTAGCTGGATATTTTTTTTCCAAATAATACCTGGAGACAGTTTTCACTCATAGATGAAGTTTCATTTTTCTTTTACTAGCTTTTTATAGTTTGAGTAAAGGTAAAATACAATCTCAGAGACCTGGGACAGTCCCAGATCGCTGGGTCTTTGGCAGAGTACCAGAAGCCTGGAATTGTCTTGGGACTTTGGGACTGTCCCGGGCCTTTGGAACTGCTCTAAAGACCCAGAGTCCTAACACCATGGGGTTTAATTTTTAGTCAAACTATTTCAAGAAATTTAAAACTCAAAAATGTGGGACTCTGGCATCTGGGACAGTTTCAGAGTCCCGGGACAGTCTCGGGCTTCTGGGACAGTCCCAAAGCCCCGGGACTGTCCCAAATTTTAAGATTTTGTACTTGCTAAAAAAACATCGGCCTTTGTTTTAATTTGTTCTTTTGATTATCAACTATTCAAAATCATTTAACAATCTTAAAAACAAATAGTTTTCATCGTAAAGATTTCAGGGGAAAAATAAAAATTAATGAATTTTAATATTTTCTAAAAAATTTAGGACTCATTTAGTAAAAAAAGGATCCATTATTGATCTTAAACAAGAGAAAAAAATGTTCTTAAATGGAAATGCTGAAACTCAGTCATAGCATGAGAGGTTCAAAGTGCCAACAAATATCATGGGTTCAAAAAATGCTAAGGAATCATATAATTTTGAGGCGGTCGAATCCGGCGAATTCTTCAGAAAATAGATCCAGGTCCACTCCTGGGTGTCTTGCAGAAATGAATACGGATCCTAAATCCGTTTAGTAAAAAATGGATCCAAGTCCTGGGTGTCTTGTCAGAAATGAATCCGGATCCTAAATCAGGTCTGCAAAAATGGATCCAGGTCCTGGTTGTCTTGTCAGAAATGAATTAGGATCCTAAATCCGTTTAGTAAAAAATGGATCCAAGTCCTGGGTGTCTTGTCAGAAATAAATCCGGATCCTAAATCCGTTCAGTAAAAAATGGATCCAAGTCCTGGGTGTCTTGTCAGAAATGAATCCGGATCCTAAATCCGTTCAGTAAAAAATGGATCCAAGTCCTGGGTGTCTTGTCAGAAATTAATCGGATCCTAAATCAGGTCTGTAAAAAATGGATCCAGGTCCTGGTTGTCTTGTCAGAAATGAATTAGGATCCTAAATCCGTTTAGTAAAAAATGGATCCAAGTCCTGGGTGTCTTGTCAGAAATGAATCCGGATCCTAAATCCCGTCTGTAAAAAATGGATCCAAGTCCTGGGTGTCTTGTCAGAAATGAATTAGGATCCTAAATCCAGTCTGTAAAAAATGGATCCAGGTCCTGGGTGTCTAGTCAGAAATGAATTAGGATCCTAAATCCGTTCTGTAAAAAATGGATCCATTATTGATCTTAAACAAGAGAAGAAAAAATGTTCTTAATGGGAATGATGAAACTCAGGCTAGAATATTTGCGTATCCGGATTATAGGAAAGGAACAACTGGGTTTTAGGACTACCAAGGTTCACTAAAAAATCTGTTTTATTACCTGATCTGCAAAATGTTTGACCAGGAAAGCTGACTGGGAGAGCCTAGGTTTACTAAAATGTTCGTACTTCTTACACTATATACATTCTTATTTTAAACAATTTATTTTGATATAAAAATACTCTTGTATGATATTTGAGGAAAGAAGAAAGAAAATGACGTTGATAAATGCATTTCTTTAGAGTTTAGAGGGAAAATATAGAGAATCCTAAGCCTATAAGATTTAAAGAGATAGCCAGAGGCCGAATTTAAAGAATTTGAGCAGCGGCTTAAATTTGAGAAGCAGCTCAAATATGATTGGTTCCACTTTTTGTATTCAAGGTTTCAAGATTTAAGCCGGCACTCAACAGAAACCGGTTTTCGGCGGATTTGAGACGCGGCTCAAATTCAGACTCAGGATTATTTAAAATTGTCAGGATAATCATCAGGTTTAAACATTAAAGAGATTGACAAGATGTGTTTAAGGTTTAGAGGAACAGTCAAGATGTGTTCAAGGTTTAGAGGAACAGTCAGGATGTGTTTAAGGTTTAGAAACAGTCAAGCTGTGTAAAAGGTTTAGAGGAAAAGTCAAGATGTGTTAAAGGTTTAGAGGAACAGTCAAGATGTGTTCAAGGTTTAGAAGACAGTCAAGATGTGTTTAAGATTTAGAAACAGTCAATATGAGCATAAGGTTTAGAGGAAAGGTCAAGATGTGTTCCAAGGTTTAGAGGAACAGTCAAGATGTGTTCAAGGTTTAGAGGAACAGTCAAGATGTGTTTAAGATTTTGAGGAACAGTCAAGATGTGTTTAAGGTTTAGAAACAGTCAAGATGTGTATAAGGTTTAGAGGAACAGTCAAGATGTGTTTAAGGTTTAGAGGAACAGTCAAGATGTGTTTAAGGTTTAGAGGAACAGTCAAGATGTGTTTAAGGTTTAGAGGAACAGTCAAGATGTGTTTAAGGTTTAGAGGAACAGTCAAGATGTGTTTAAGCTTTAGAGGAACAGTCAAGATGTCTTTAAGGTTTAGAGGAACAGTCAAGATGTCTTTAAGGTTTAGAGGAACAGTCAAGATGTGTTTAAGGTTAAGAGGAACAGTCAAGATGTGTTTAAGGTTTAGAGGAACAGTCAAGATGTGTTTAAGGTTTAGAGGAACAGTCAAGATGTGTTTAAGGTTAAGAGGAACAGTCAAGATGTGTTTAAGGTTTAGAGGAACAGTCAAGATGTGTTTAAGGTTTAGAGGAAAAGTCAAGATGTGTTTAAGGTTAAGAGGAACAGTCAAGATGTGCTTAAGGTTTAAAGGAACAGTCAAGATGTGTTTAAAAAAATGTTCCTTGTCGTAAAGTTTCTCCACCCAGGATTTATCTGAGCCTTTAGGAACCTAAATTTAATTCAATTCAATTTATTTAATTTATTTCCTAGGTGTGACCACATCCAAATCCATTTTATTTTCCTAGCTGATTTTGAACCGGGACTATAAATACTTCAAACTTGGTATCACTTTATTGTCCCAGTTTACTACTTTCCATAAATATAAAAATAAAAAATTGTTTTATTCTTATATTTTGAACATTATGATTCTTTATCAACAGCTTGGACATACAGTGATAAGCAGAAAACTCTGAAATAGTAAGACGACATTCAGGCTCCTATTATGACTTTAAAAAAGTCCAGTAAGCATGGACCACATTAATAGTGCTATAAAAACAGACCCATTGCACATAATAAGTTAATTAATAAGTGTCTAGTAAAACTATTTTCCTTGTAAAAACATCAAAAACAGGTAAGAATTACTTAGGTCGTCTTCCTATTTCAGAGTTTTCTGGTATCACAGTATTTCCCAGAAATCCATAAAACTTTGAATATTATGTATCCAATTTTAAAACCAGGTCGACTTGGAAATGTTGCAACCCTTTGGCCTTTGGTTTTTCCTTGCCACCTCTTAAGGCATTTAAATCTCAAGAAAGCAACGCTATCGTTACTAGTTTTAGTTTGAAAGGAGTAATTAGCAAATTCCTGATAAATTTTGTACATTAATTTCAGTAGTACCGAAGAATTTAAATTTAATTTTAGCTTTTAAGCTTATTTTCAGTTTAGCTTTTAAGATATAGTGATTGTCTCCCTTTCATCTCCCTGTAATGATGCTATAATAACAAATCTTAAAAGTAGACATTTTATGAAAATAAAGTTTAGCTTGTTAAAACTTTATATCCGTAAAAATAAATTGATAAACTTTGGGAGAAATTAGCTCAATATTTTCAAATATTTTCAAATATTTTTAAATGTTTTCAAATATTTTAAATATTTTAAAATTATATCAAGAAAATGCTAGAATTACAGAAATTTATAATATTTCAAAATAAACTAACTATCTTTTCTCTCAATAAATGTTATTCAAATAAAAATATTCTTTATGAAGTGGAAGAGAAAGTGTTCCTACTTTTAACCAAAATTATGACAAGCTATCGAATCCCTGATATTTGCAATGCAACCGTGAACAGCGGGTTGCAAAAAGCAAGAATTCATATGCAAAATCTATTTTTTAATATAAATATAATTAATATATCTGAAAGTCACGACGCAATTCTGATGCAATTAATATAGGAAGGAATATTACATTGCATATTCTTCCCAAGACCTAGTTGGGTCATAAAATATCTTGAGAGTAGCCTATATTTATAGCATCCTCATTGCATCCCCGTAATGAAATTTTAAATAGTTTTAAAAATGAATTTAAATAAAAAATTACCCTGCATTCTTCATCCAGTAAATCTAAAATACCAAGTTTACTCTCGATAAGGTCTATGCAGGGCTGATTATCGTAGAAATCTATCATTTTCCATTCTATTCCTTCCTTGACGTACTCCTCCTGCTCCAGCTTGAACACATGAAGGTTGAACTGCTGCTGTAGTTTCTCGTTGGCGTAGTTGATACAGAACTGCTCGAAACTATTTATCTCAAATGTTTCGAATCCGTAAATATCCAGCACACCTGATAAGATTAGAAGTGATCGGGCAAATTTATTATTAATCATAAATGCTGAAGAAAAACCCTCCTCTTTCAAATCAACCAAGAAAACGATATCAGGACCGATTTTATGTATTTGAGCTACGTTGCTAACTACCCCTTAATTCAAGGTTATAGATTAAGAAAGGATTTGAATGGGTCATTCTAATTTGAACCGGCACGGCGGTAGGCGGTTTTAATTCAGTCCCAGAAGAATTTTCTNCTGTTAAAAATGAGAGAAGTGTTACCAATAAACTTGTTTATCTTCTGTGAAGTGCGCAAGGCCTTGTTGATCTGATGGACTATAAACCATTGTTATTCAATTTATTGGTTTTAAGAAATTAAATAATACTGTCATCCAACTTACTATTCGATCAATTGTTTTATAAAAACAAATAATATTAGCAAACAAAGCTTACTATTCTATCAATGGTTTTATGAAATTAAATTATACTGTTAACCAAAAACTTTTTATTCGATCAATGGTATTAAGAAAAGAAATAATACTAGCAACCAAAAATGTATTATTCTATCAATGATTTCAAGTTTTTTTCATAAACCAAACACTAATGGCGAAAACAAAAAATTTCATTCTTGAAATTTAAAAAATCCGCGAAATTTGACAATTTTTTTAAGATGTACGCAAAAAAAGGCATGCCGAGATCAGCGACAAAAAAGCAAGTTAATAAATAGAGGTAACCACGAAGTGCCCTTTTAGCTTAGTTAAATACTGATATTGTGTACATTGTGATGTTTATCAAAATATTTTTTTTCTTAACTAGATTTGATACTCAGTATTCAATTAGAAACCAGTTATTTTCAGAAAGTGTTGGTTTATCTCTTACTCGATACCTTATTGAGAAGAGATAAACCAATATACCTCTGTGGTCAAATCCTCGAAGATCGCTTAACTCCCAGCGAGAATAGAAACAGTTAAAATTACTTGATCCATTCAAAAGTTTCCAGCTAAGGGAATCAAACCCCAATTATAATTTTCTATTTGTTGAACAACAATTTCCTATCCAATCGAAGAGGTTTGAATAGATACACTTTGCCAGAGCATCACGGGACTGTTGTGCCTATAATAGAACTCCATTAAAGGGACTGTAAAGGAAAAATTAAAGGGGGGTATAGGATGAAGCCTAAACATTATAGGAGTTTATCGCTACCAATATTGTGTCAAAGTTACACAAAAACTCATATATACTTAATCTAGTCGACGGACCCTTGTGACCAGATACCTGAACGGCCATTGGTGGAAATTCTGGTCACGTGATACAGACATAACAATTATATTATCAATAATATCTTTTAAAAATGAATAAGTAATATATTCAACCTATAATAGGAGCGTACCTTTTATGTTTAAGCAAATCTGGGTTATCCTAATTTTCAGATTTGTTCAGTATTTGCTGAATATACCTTTCATATATATTATATATATATATAATATATACTAATACTGGGCTACTTTTAACATGCAACATTAAATTTACAAATTTAGTCCATTTTAGAAGAATTTGCATTTCGTATCCAAAGGGGATCCTTAAATATCCCTCAATACAGATGTCTGCTGAATGGTCGTGTACAGTAAGTTCCTGTACACAATAGAGCCTGCTGTGGAAAATATTGCATACTGTTTTATCTATGAGTTTTATATCAATTTCTCGAGACAGGGACATTAGATATCATAAAAATTGGTCGCGACCAACTCCTAATAAGTTTAGGCTTCGTTCCGTCATTACATAACTTTCTGACACTGATAAATTGTGTAAATACAGTATAAGAACCTGAAAGCAGTGAAGTTTACTAAAGATTTTGCAATCTGTAACAAAACTGTTACTAGAAAAGTGCCTGAAGTACAAAATCGCGCAATCTCGATATCCATGGTGACTACTTTAAAGAACAAGAATATTTGCTTGATCCCTTCATTTTATATATCTTTGCATGCAGGGAAAAATCATCACGGGCTATTGAAGAGAAATTCTGCACAACATGAAGATCAATGGTTGATCCCGAAATCCACAACACAAAGGTCCTAAGTTTCAGAGATACTATATAAGCTGTTATAAATACAATTATATAATACTTATTGACTTGTCTGAAGTGAGTGAAAGGAAGAAGAAAATTTGAATTTATTCCACAGATTTCTAGTTAAATGAACAAAGGAATTAAGTCATTGCCACAAACAACAAATCAGGTTGCAACAATATAGGATTTAACAATTTGAGTTTGTAGCAAAGACGCAACTCCTTTACCTGTGTTTGTCCCATTGGCTTAGTGAAAGACTCATTTCTAGAAACAATCTGAATTCATTTAAGATTATATATCATCGTTGGATAAAAGGCCTAAATTTCCCTAGGCAGGGCCTGAAGGCCAGGACTGTGAAATCTTATTTTCAATTTTTTTTTAATCTGAGCAGTTCTGATTCGTCATATTTGAATATAAACAACCAATATCCTGTTCTCCCACTTTTTAGCTTAACATACATCTGTTTTTTTTAAATCGTTTATTTTCCAGAAAACCTGAAACTCTGTAAATATTTTGACTGAATATAATCTTGTTAAAGGGAGTGTTCGCGAAAAATGAAAGGAGGTTTAGGCTTGCGTCGAAAAATTATCGATGGTGGTAATCTTCCTTCTATCTGTTGCGTCTATGAGAAAAAAAATGTTACTCATACCGAGGAACTTGTCTTCCAAGTCCATACATTATTACAACTTCAGAAAGTTAAAACATTCGACTCGGATCGTAAAAGCAATCAATTTAATTCCAAACAAATCATTCGTATAGTACACATGTAATCATCGATAATTTTCGACGCATTCATATAAAGTTGATATTTCATAATATTTTTTACTCGTTTCATATACAATATACTTTAAAGGATGTTTATTTGGCCGCTAGGTGTCTTTGCTTTCGATACGATGCTTCTGGAGACGTGGAATAGACTCCATCGTCACAAAAAATCGTCGTTAAAGTATATCGGATATGAAACAAGTAAAAAATATTATAAAATGTAACTATATACCAATGCGTAGAAAAATTGTCGATGGCTACTGTTTGTAATATATGAATGATTTGTTTGGAATTAAATTGATTTTTTTACGATCCGAGTCGAATGTTGCATTTTACTGAATTTGAATGGAGGCTACATTATCAGGCGTGTCAAGTCGTGTTTACCAAATAAAAAAAAATCCACTAAATCTTGAAATTTAAATGTAGGGTTACTTGAAATTTAAATGTATGGTTGAAATTTAAATGTAGGGTTACTTGAAATTTAAATGTAGGGTTACTTGAAATTTAAATGTAGGGTTACTTGAAATTTAAATGTAGTGTTACTTGAAATTTATATGTAGGGTTACTTGAAATTTAAATGTAGGGTTACTTGAAATTTATATGTAGGGTTACTTGAAATTGTGACTCAAAATTTTGCTTTGTATAATGAGAGAAACCCTTCAGAGAAAATAACTTGAAAAATACTTATTATCAATCCTTGCGGAGTCTTTCGAAGAAAAAACCTTGAATCTTAAAAAGACAGCACTAACGATATGCCAATAGCAATATGACAAATTCTATCAGACCCTTTGAATATCAAACATCCCCAATAATAAATAAGTAGCAATTACCATGAATTACGCTCGTCATAAGTAACAATTAAAGGCATCTCTAAGGTAGGGGTAGTAAAGAAAGTAAATTTAAAAAAAATACTGGGCTAAACAAAAGGACCGAAGCAAGGTCAGGGAATAGTTAAAAAGTACAATCAGATTAGTGGGATTAAACTTATCCTCAAGTTTTTATCCTAATTGTTGAGGACAGCTTGAAAACTAATTTAACTTTGATAAAAGAAATTCCGCCAGCAAATATGAGAGATTAAAAATACTTGTTAAAAAAGAAAAAACTTAATGGCAAGAAAATGAGGATACATTTTAAAGAATTTTTTTCCAGAATGAACCAATATAAAATGTTGAAAAACATGGCGCCTAAAAATTAAGATAAAAAGGCGGTAGAAAATGTCGCATAAAACATGACGTCTAAGAATTTTGCATGAAAACATGGCGTCTACAATAACTGATATTAATCTTTTCCTTTCGATGGCAGAGCCACTGTCTCATCTGTTCCTGTTCTATATCAAGCAGACGACTCATCTCAACCAACCCAACATCATCAGACTAAATAAAAAAATGTGTTACAAAATAAAGAGTCCCAATTCACCTCATCTATGAAGTGGGTTTTAAAAGCAGAGACAATTGAGGTTTTTCTTAGATTCTGAAAGAAGACTTTGTCTAGAACTACTATCACGCAATTTTACAAATCCCTGTCGAGCCCTTTATCTCTAAATGTATATTTGGCAAGTGATTAATACTCTACACAAGGCTCAATTCAATAAACAATCCTTTAAAGACACTGTAAGCATAATTTCAAGTGACCCTCCTTGCAAAGATGGCAATGCCCGATTTATAATTCCATTTAAACTTTGTTGTGTAGTTTAGACTGAAAAAAGACGTCTGACAAGTTTTCATGAGATTATTAGGTAATCTAGATGGTTTCGGGTTTCCTAATAATCTCTCGAAAACTTATGAGTCAAACGCATTTTTTCAGTCAAAACTACACAACAAAGTTTAAATGAAATTATCTCATACAGGGCCCTACAGGGATTTCTAAAAATCTAAATGCTAGTTCTAGACAAAATCTTTTTTCAGAATATGAAAAAACCAAAGGTGTTTTTAAACATTCTTCATAGCATATGGTCGGGTAAAACTTTAGTTTGGAATATCACTTAGTTCAGTGATTTCCCAATATCCAGCAAACTATTTATTAAATTGAGGTTTATCTCCTTAAATAAAGGAAAAGTGTTAAAAAACGACCTAAAGGGTATTAGAACTAATTATAAAGTTCTAGTTTACCTTTATTAGACTGGATTCATTATCCCCTCTACCTCCTCCAGGTTGGATACCAATATTACCAAGATGAAGTATTCCTGCTAGGATCCTTAAAAAAAACAGAGTCAAGCTAATCTATTAAACATGTCTTATCCTTCTGGACCTAGCACAATTCAACCCGACAGCAAAATAGACAAAAAAAAGAAAAAAATCAGAAATTAACGGGGAAAAAAATAGTTTTAATCTTTCTGCCACAAGTCAAAATACAACAAATAACAGGATGTCCAAATTAAACATGGGACTTTAGTAGCATCTCAATTAAAACAGTAAATAATTATAATTATAACTACTAGTCAATTGAGATTTCTAATTTTTGAACAATTAAAAATTTTCATACAACAACACAATCGATCAAATATTTACAATCTACATCAATTTTAATTCACACATTAAAAAATGAACGAAACTAAAATAACTAACATTATCAATTTTATCAAAGAAAATCGGGAACACAACCTAAAGAATTTTTCCAAAAAAATCCATTCCTTTATAAAAAGCTGGTTTTTTGGTATGCAACAATTTTCATGTAATCACGCCCCTTTTAAAAATAATAAAATAATAACAATAAATAATAAAAATAATAAGTGATTTTTTACAAAGAAATGTCATTTACTCTCAGAAAAATTAGAATCAATGAAAATTTAAACCCCAAGGATTCAATGATAAACCCTTGGGTAAATAATACATTTATTTTTTTAATTTCTCCCCAAATATTCCTTTCCTTGTTTTTTTTTAATTCATGGAAGGGGGGGAGGTAAATTTTTTTCTAGAAAATATATAATTGTTGTTATTTTTTTCCTCCCTTTTCCTAAAAATTTAAGTTATATTTTTTAAGAAAATGTTTGATCTGACCCTGTTCATAAAGAAATCAAAAATTGTGGAAGCCCTGAAAGGTAACAGTATACATAGCCAAAACTGACTTGTGCAGTACACAATATAACGGACACATTTTGTACATCTGTTTTATTGAAATTTAGTTTTTGTTTTGCTTTCTTAGGACAAGGAAGGAAAAATATTTATTCGAATTTGCCATCTTTTGCACAAAATATTGCAAAAGTTTTTCAGTTATAGTATTTTTGGAACATTTCTTCAGCATATGTATCGTTTGATATTTAAGGGGGGTGGGGGGTTTATTTGGGTGATTAAGCCAGGTAGTCAAATTCATAGCTTATAATTTGTCCAACTTTTTTCCAAATTCCAATCAATCAACCAAAACGCTAAAGAAATATCCAGAAACTATGAGAAAGCAAGATAATGTTATAAAATTTTTGATGTGAGAGAATCAAAATAATTTTTTTCCGCACTCCAAAACTCAACAAAGGATTTCCAAAATATCATCCACGCGTTGTATGTATTAAGTCTAATGCGTAATATTGACATAATATATTCAAAAAATTATCATTTTGCACAAAAATCAATATGAATTTATTGCGCAATAAAAATCTGCATTTATAAACTTTTCTTTCCAAGAATTTGATATTATGTGAAGTACTTTTTAAATCTTTAATAAACATTTCATGTAAAATTTTTTTATTGTTAACTCCATTAAAAACTGATAGGATAGTCAATGTTTCGATTTTTAATTCAAACATTTATTCCATTTCACTTTGATGTGGATTCGGATCCGGATCCTGGATCCGTCCTGTAATTAAATAGATCCCTATCCTTGATCCGACCTGTATGTTAACAGATCCGGGCCCTGGATCCGACTTGTTAATAAACAGATCCGTATATTGGATCCGTCATGTAAATAAACGGATCCGAATCCTGTATACGTCATTCAAATTAACGGATTCGGATCCTTTTTTTTATTTTTTTAGGAGGTACTCCTTTGGCGCAAAAAACCCCGCAAACCTTTTTTCTCTCAAAATCAAAAGTTCAGAAAAGTAAAAATGTGTAAATATATTATTTCCATCAAATTTTAAAATTCTATAAAGATTGAATCAAAGAATCACAGAAAAATTGCAAAATTGTAATAAGAAAATTCCCAATTTTCAGTTCTGTGCAAAGTTGTACTTTTTTGTGCAAATCTTCTGTATGGTGTTTTATCAATATTTTTTGGAAGTTTTTAATTTATTTTTTTGGGGGTACTCCTTTGGCGCAAAAAAAAATCCGCGAACCTTTTTTCTCTCAAAATCAAAAGTTCAGGAGAGCAAAAATTTGTAAATATTATTTCTATGACATTTTAAATTCTATGAAGATTGAATCACAGAATCACAGAAAAATTGCAAAATTATAGTAAGAAAACTCGCAATTTTCAGTTCTGATCTCATTTTTATGGAAAAGTACTTTAAATCCTCTAGTTCCTTTCTTCTTTTCTTAGTTTATTCTAAAGTTATAAATATACGCTATTCAGTTGAAACCTGAAGAGCCATTGAAAAAAAACCTTTTTTCTTTTTTTCGAAAAATCAAAATCAGAAACTTGATTTGCCATTCACTGATAAGGAAATTGTCACTTAAATTTTTGTTTTGAGAAATAAAGTTTTTTTCTTGAATGTTTTCGAATTTGATTGATCAAAACTCAATGTAAGACTTAAAGGGAATGTAAACGTAATTTTATAAATGATAAGAGTAATTTACCTGTAAATATTGGTCGTGTCAGTTTCAGAGAAGCCAAGAAGTTTAAAAGATTCATGAGTTTTTCGAAACTCCTTTAAATCATCCACATTCGGAATATCCGGATTATCCCCCTTAAATTACAGGGGAAATTAGTTCCAAAAATAACACTTGGCCCATGTCACTGTTAGAAATGGGCCAAATCTGTTATTTTTTTCAAGCGTATATATCTTTAAATCCAAGCCGAGTTAAACAAAACTGCACCACGTATTTCTTAAAAATGGCCTAAACTAATTATTGAAACAAGAAATGTCAACTTTAAAATATAAATAAGGTATGAGAATTAGTTTTTGATGATATTGGTTTTCCTTTTCGAACATATCCCTATTTTAAAACAATTATCGCATTTCAGCTCATGTCGCATTTTCGGAACATATCTTGGTTTTGAGACAATTACTAGAATTCATATCAATGTCAATTTTCATGCAGGTACACACTTACGTACGTAAAAAAAAACAAGATTTTTTGATAAGGTAAAATATAAACAAAATAGAAAACAAAAAAACTGTTCTTTTATAATTTGAAATCATTATAGCATCGATAAACCAAAATTTTAATATTATTTTCTTCTTCCAATATAGAATTAACAAGAAATCCGGAAATTGTTTTATTTAGAATGCGGGAAATTTAATAAACTTTATTCTCTTATTTAACAAATAAAATGAAAAAATTAAATTTGTATATATGAATGTATACTCCAGTATACCTGGTTTGTATATATGAATGTAACTCCAGTATACCTGGTTTGTATATAAGAATGTATACCCGGTATATATATGAATGTATACTCCAGTATACCTGGTTTGTATATATGAATGTATACTCCAGTAAACCTGGTTTGTATATAAGAATGTATACTCCAGTATACCTGGTTTGTATATAAGAATGTATACTCCAGTATACCTGGTTTGTATATAAGAATGTATACTCCAGTATACCTGGTTTGTATATATGAGTGTATACTCCAGTATACCTGGTTTGTATATAAGAATGTATCCTGATGATCTAGAGCTAATCCCTCCAACTCCTTCTCCTCCCTGGCAGCACACATCTGGTAGAACACGTGGTAGTTCCTCTCCTCTGCAGCCTTTAACAAACAAAAACTATTTAAAGGGAGTGTTATTGTAAGTTCAATTGACATTCCATTTAAAGAGAACTGGAGCATAATAATAATAATAATAATGGTAGAAACCCCTTATCCTCTAATGGAATAGGCTTTAAAGTTCTAATTGGACTAACTCAGTGAAGAGATGAGTGTAAATTCAATTTAACCGATATATAAAGATATTTCAACCTTTATCTGATCAATAATGGGGAAGAAGTTTTCTAACACAATTCTCACAATTTCCTCCATTATTTTAGTAGCAAGAAATCCCCAAGTCACTTCAAAAGAGCAATCCACAATTGAAACTTAACATTTCGTTTGAAGAGAAATCATGGATAGCTCGTTCATTAATCAGACAAGGCTTTGAAGGGTACCATTATTGTGAATCAGACATGCCACTCTATCAAGGAAAGGTCCTAGAAATCAAATCTCCACATAAGCATAAGTATCAAGATCCGAAAGCTCTAACAGTATATTCCACTTTAGGAGTCCTTTCCGTTTTTCTTAAATCAAAATGTTTGAGTTGAGGTGAGTGATATGTAATGGTATTGATCTAAAGTTTAATAACCTGAAAAACCACTCTGGACTTCTCTAGAAGATAAGTACGCATGTTAGCCCCTATAATCTGATAACTCTTGGAGAAATCAATCTCAATATATTTTCCAAATCTACTGGAGTTGTCATTTCTCGTAGTTTTCGCATTTCCTAAAACATAAATTCTTAGAAATTTAGAATACATCTCTTTAGCCAACCACGTCATCAAGACTCTAGGAACGCATTCAGGAATATCATTCAGAAGACGACATTTTTCTCTATGAAAAGCATGTGCATAGTGCTTTGCTGATTGAACTACTGAGCATATAATCTGTGTATTAAATTAAAAATTAGTTTTAAAAAGAGATAATCTTCGCTCATTTGAATTTACTTTTTACTTTAACTAAATAAATTAAAAATTCAATTTGCTAAATAGCTGTCATTGTAATTAAATAAACCGCCAGTCATTTTTTACGGGAAAACCACCATAGAAAAAAGGACTTAAGTTCTTACCACAAACTAAAATTGTCTGATTTCTATTTTTGCAACCTGTTTAGTAAATCCTTAATATTTCAAAACTCAAATTATCTGTTCTATCAGAAATCATTATTATAATATCAAAGATCTGGGATAAGAAAGTTTGTGGCAAAGACTCTAATTACTACTTATATTAAAAAAATAACAAATTTTTAAAATTTAAAACATTAATAATTCTTTTAAGGGTAACATTGTGAATTGTGCAAACAACTGGCAAAATGAAGAGTCAATTGACTTCACGTCTACAGCTTCTTCTTAAATATGATTTAAAACANCCTGTACCCCAACTATACCTGTGTTTCAGTATCCCCTGTACACCAACTATACCCGTGTTTCAGTGTTTCAGCATGTCCTGTACCCCAACTATACCTGTGTTTCAGTATTTCCTGTACCCCAACTATACCTGTGTTTCAGTATCTCCTGTACCCCAACTCTACCTGTGTTTCAGTATCCCCTGTACCCCAACTATACCTGTGTTTCAGTATCTCCTGTACCCCAACTATACCTGTGTTTCAGTATTTCCTGTACCCCAACTATACCAGTGTTTCAGTATCCCCTGTACCCCAACTATACCTGTGTTTCAGTATCTCATGTACCCCAACTATACCTGTGTTTCAGTATTTCCTGTACCCCAACTATACCTTTGTTTCAGTATCTCCTGTACCCCAACTATACCTGTGTTTCAGTATCTCCTGTAACCCAACTATACCTGTGTTTCAGTATCTCCTATACCCTTATCTTTACCTGTGTTTCAAAATCTCCAGTACCCCAACTATACCTGTGTTTAAGTATCTCCTGTACCCCAACTATACCTGTGTTTCAGTATCTCCTGTACCCCTAACTATACCTGTGTTTCAGTATCTCCTGTACCCCATTTATACCTGTGTTTCAGTATCTCCTGTACCCCAACTATACCTGTTTTTCAGTATATCCTGTACCACAACTATACCTGTGTTTCAGTATCTCCTGTACCCCCGACTGTAGCGAAGTATCGCATACTATACTTCGCAGAAACCGTTTTACCGGCACCAGATTCACCTATTAAATAAGAAATTTTAAACAAGGTTCTCTTCAGATATATGATTAGGTATTCTAGGGATCAAATTAAATTATTAAACTTAAAATGAACAAAATTGGTACTTGTTTTCCCAAAAATGATATTTAAATCAAGAATTAATATTCTTATTCCAATTCGATGTATTTGTAAAGTAAATTACACCGCGATACCCCACAAAAACTAACCCAGTTCCACTGGAGAGAAAAAAGACCTGTGGAAAACAGTTACACAATCCTCGGATAAAAATTAAGCTCGTTTTTAACTCTTTAGCTTTCTTTTGGTTGTTATCGACCATTAAAATATTTTTCAAATGTTCCAGATTTAAATTTATAAGGGTTATTTGTATTTCTTACCAGAGACGATGATTGATTGATTTTTACTATCTCTCTCCATAAGCTTAAATGCTTCCTCACTAAAAAAAGAAAATAAAGATTTATATAGAATTATTCTTGCATAAAATATTGATAAGTTGTACTAATGTTTTTTTTACTTAAGGTGCGATAATGGTATTTTCCCTTATTACCCGAGTAAATGGAGGTGAATGACCTTCGATATCAAAATTTCTTCGTAAACTTTGAAGATGACCACAATTAGAGGCTGTATGCAAAATTTCAGCCTTTTATCTCAATTTTTTAAACCAAGCGTACAATTTGGTGTCACAAAGTGTCGAATTGTACTTCCCCCCTCCCCTCCCCTTTAGATGCAGATCAGATTAATAATATCCCTGTAATTAGGTGAGAACAGGGGAGTTTATACCTTTAAAATCATTTCCAAGTTTAAACAACTATTTTTGAAAATTCTATAATTTTAAGTGGTAATTTTTTTTATATTTTAGCAGGTGATCTTTTTTAAGGAATTTACACCCTTGCACAAATCATGAATATATGATACATATCTTAGTATATAAATCAATTACAGTACATTCATGTTAGGTGTACTGTGGTGGTAGGTGGGGGTGGGGGGGGGGGAACATTGGTATACGTTTAATTATCTGATAAATAATATGTTTAGACAAGAACTATTTCAGTTATGTTTGAATGATGAGAAATTATTCCGGGTTAATAAATATAACATAAAAAGGGTTTTGAAATAGTAGATACTCATTTTGTAATGGTTTTTACTTTTATTAGTATTCAAAGTCTTGGATTTCTATTGTTTTCATATAAAAGAGAGAAAAGATTGACTCTACTTTCTCACCAAAACATAACAATGTACATTCTTCCTTCCCCACAACCAGACTCCCTTTAGGGTTAAACACAATCATTACTCTAAGATGAAAACTTTTATACAAAATACAAAATACACTTAATTTTTTCTTTAAACCGAGTTCAAGAAGTGTTTCAAACATTAAAACATTTTTATCTCCAATAAGAGTATCTTGGTTGACA